TTTCTCCCTTCTCCTATCCCTGCCCTCTGCTTTCTGTGTGTGGATGGAGATGCGATCTCCCAAAGTCCTGCTCTTGCTGACTGCTGCCAAGCCACCCCCACTATTATGCCACTCCTTCTAGAAACACAGGCCAAGATAAACTCTTCTCTAAATTGCCTGCGGCCATGGTGTTTTATCACAGCTGCCGAAAAGTAACTGATACAGAGGTCAAAGCCAAAACCTGGATAGGAAGCCAGAAAGAGACCCAGCTCGGTTCAGGGAGGTCTGTGCTCCTCCCTGTGTCTTGGGCTGTTAGGGGAAGAGTGTTATGTAACACACCCACCTCTGGGTGGTTTTCTCCCTGCCTTGGCTTGGAGACTGTGCTGAAAGGCAATGAAATGATCCAGAAGCAATATAAACCAAGAGCCCCATGGAGAAGGGAAGCGGCGGTGGTTCTGCTGGCTTTGGAGATTAGGTCATCTTCTGTGCAGGATCACAGGCATAGTGGGCCAGGGATCTCCCGAACTGCCCTTCAAGTGCTCTGGATTCAGGGTCTCCAATGGTCCTCAATCTCCCCATGTTATTTCAATAAAAGTTAATGTTGGACAATTCAATTCCAGCTGGGGCCTACCCTCCAATGGAGGGTGGGCAGGCAGACAGGGTACCTTTGGGAACCCCGGGTCAAATTAGCTTATCTTCTCAACCCTCTGACTCAGTTTAACCCCTACATTCAGCCTATGTTGTTTGCAATGGTATGGGACCTCTGACCTCTGACCTTTTCCCTAGAAAAGCAATGAGGGGCCCAGATGGCCAGGAATGTGAGAAGCAAGTTTTGTACCAAGCTTCAGTAGGCAGCGTCTGAAAGAGCTGAACCAAGAATCCTGCCTGGCAGAAAAGCAGAGAGAGCTTGGCTAGATCCATTCTCCTAGGGACTCCACTGTCCTGTCAGATTGAGCAGTATGATAGGAGTCCTCGGGTATGGAGTCACAGAAACACCCCTCTGGTTCTTCCATGGGACCTTTGGGTCCAAAGCCAAGTCTGGTACACAGTGCTTCAGGTAAGTTAAGGAAACAAAACTTTCTGTTGATGGATTTGTGGTGTTAGGGATAGAACCCAGGACCTAATATGCTGGGCGAGCATTCTACCCTAAATTACACCCATAGCCCCTGGTATTTTGAGACATGGTCTCATTATGTAAGCCAGCTTGGCCTGGAGTTTGAAACTGCATCCGTCTTGCCTTGGTCCTGGAACCCTGACTCGGGGTATTGAGGGAATGAGGGGAAGAACAGACCCTAGAGAAATGACAGGCATCTTCAGGAGAGCTGGGGTACTGGTGAACTCCTAAGATTCTCCGAGATCCGCTAAGAGCACAAAAGTGGGGGGGGGGGGCTGATGCGATGGTGCAGCAATAAATGCTGTATTTCCTGCTAGTTCCCTGGCTTATTTAGCCCTGCATCTTGTCTTGTGTCTTTCAGCTTTGGTGGGGAGGGGAGCTGCTTTGTTTGTTTTATAAAGGGTCATTTGCAGCTCAGGCTAGCCTGGGATTTACTATGTATCTGAGGATGGCCTCCAACATCTGGTCCTCCTGCCTGTCCTTCCCAAGTGCTCAGATTAAAGGCGGTTGTCTCTTTACAACCCTGCCCTCTGACTTGGTATGTTCTCAGCCTGTGTGCTGTTCTGATCTTTTGATCCTTTTCTGTCAGATGTCTGAGAGTTGAAAACTGGTACCTCCCCATTCTGCACAGATACATATTGCATGTATCAGTGGAAATTTGGGGTCAAGTGATTTCCAATGCTTTTGAGATGATCATGAAAGTAGGGCACTTCTGCAGAAAAGCAGAAGTATAGCCCAGAAAGGAGTTTCCACTGAAGAGAAGAAAACCCCAGATTTTTCTGGAGAGTTCCCAAGTACCTGGTCAGCAACAGTTACTACAGAGGAGCAGCCGGGCAGCAGCAAGCAGCCCTCAGTCCGGGGCCTATGGGTCTTTTCACCCTCTACTCCCTCCGTCTTGGCAACACGTTGGTTGGCTCATTATACCTCTGTCTTATTGGTTCCCCCACTTCAAGACACCTAAATCTACAAATTCCTGCGGGCTGACTGGCTGATCTGTTGACAGAGGCCCCAGGGTGATACTGCTGTCCCAGCTGTAGCATTCTCTGATCTTGAACGTTTTCTCTCCACCCCTGAATCTGTTCCTCTTGACCTTACTCCTACCCCAGAGAGAGACTCTCCTCGTTCGATTGCACAATAAAAAGTCAATCCGTGGGTGCCCTGGGACCCCAAGGTTCCCATCTGTAGTTGTTGTGTTTTACTCTTTTGCTGTTTTGGGGGGGGCCTGCCACCCAGCTCCCAAATAAATCGCACACGGAGGCTTATTCTTACTTATGAATGCCCAGCCTTAGCTTGGCTTGTTTCTAGCCAGCTTTTCTTAACTTCAATAATTCTGCCTATCTTTTGCCTCTGGGATTTCACCTGTCTCTATTTCTGTATACCTTTTCTTCTCATTCCTTCTTTCCATGTCTGGCTGGGTATTCATGCCCTAGCATCCTTCTCTTCTCCTTTTCTAGCTCCTTCTTCCTTCATCCTTTTTCTCCTTTTATTTATTCTCTCTGCCTACGAGCCCCACCTCTCCTTTCTCTGCCTAGCTATCAGTCTTTCAGCTCTTCATTAGGCCAATAAGGGGTTTCAGACAAAGTAACACAGCTTCACAGAGTTAAACAAATGCAACATAAAAGAATGCAACAAATCTTTGCACCATTAAACAAATGCTCCACAGCATAAACAAATGCAGCACATCTTAAGTACTCCACAACACTCATCTTTGGACTATTTGCCATGCACAGAGCTGGATTTTTGTACAACCCAGGAAGAGAAGGCAAAACTGGGGTAATCTGACATTGCATAGTTAAGAACACACACACGCACACTCATCACAATGCACAGGAGACCAGATATAACCACTAAGTCCATCGAAGACCCACTCATGCGGGAAGATATGACTTTGTTGATGAGAGTAAATGCAAGAAATGGAGAAGCTTGCTAGAACAAGCTCAAACTTCTAAAAGTTGCCAGTCTGTCTGAAATCCACCAGTTAAATTTTATTTATTTATTTATTTAAATATTTATTACCCCGGCAGTGGTGGCGCACGCCTTTAATCCCAGCACTCGGGAGGCAGAGGCAGGCGGATCTCTGTGAGTTCGAGACCAGCCTGGTCTACAAGAGCTAGTTCCAGGACAGGCTCCAAAGCCACAGAGAAACCCTGTCTCGAAAAACCAAAAATAAAAAATAAAAAAATTTATATATTTATTTATTCATTCATTCACTCATTTAGAGATGGAGTTTCACGATGTAGGCTGGAACTCTCTGTGTAGACCAGGCTGGTCTCGAACTCACAAAACTCTACCTGCCTCTGCTCTCCAGATGCTAAGACTAACGGTGAACACCATAATGCCTGGCCCCTTCAGTAAAATGTATTCCTTTATAAATTTTCTTCTCAAAGTTCTGTTAGTTAGTGGGGCAGTGGTGGCGCACACTTTTAATCCCATCACTCAGGAGGCAGAGGCAGGCAGATCTTTGTGAGACAGAGGCCAGCCTGGATCACAGAACTAGTTCTAGGACAGCCAAGGGTAAAAAGAGAAACCCTGTCTCGATAAAACAACAACAAAAACAAATAACAAAATCTCCCTGTTTAAATATAAAAAGCCTTAGAGAGGGCAATATACTAAGTAACACATCCCCCAAATCTGTCCGGAAAAAAGAGCATGGAAAAGTTTCTTTATGAATAAATGATTTTAGAGATGCCAATGTATTTTTTCAACCCAAGGTAGGTAGGAGAATGGCCCTCCAAATCGTTCCTGTGATTTCGTCACTTTCTATTGCCAAAGGAACCTGGCAGATGTGACTAGGGCTCAGGATTGGGTTATGCTGAATTGTCTAGGGGAGCCCTATCTAGCCATGAACCTTTAAAAACAGAAAGAATTCCTTGACTATGATCAGAAAGGCGTGTAATGATGAAGCCTAGCCAGGGAGATGCTAGATCCCTGGCTTTGAGGATGAAAAAAGGGAAACAAGAACCAGGGGAATGCCAGTGAAGCTTCTAGAAAACTGGCAAAAAAAAAAAAAAAAAAAAAACAAAAAAAAAAAAAACAAGTCGCCTTGGCAACTGGAATCAATTGCATCATTTCAAAAGTGTCGATTGGCTTTTGGCTAGCTGCACTTGAGAGAAAGATGTGCTAAAAACAAAAAAAAAAAAACCACTAACCCGCTCTGTAGACCACAGTGCCCTCGAACTCACTGAGATCCGCCTGCCTCTCAAGTGCTGGAGTTAAAGGCATGCGCCACCACGGCCCGGCTTCTTACTCTCTTCCCTTTTTCTTCTCCTTGTGTGTGTCGTCTGGAGATTAGACTCAGGGCCTTGATACAGGCTTGGCGAGTGCTCTCTGCTGAGCCACAGCCCCGCTCTTAGCTCACCAGCCTTGAAAACAAAACGAACAAACGAAAAACCCCAACTTTTTATTTTTGAAGTAAGGTCTTCCTTGAATGGTCTTGAACGGCCTGATCCTTGCATAGCAGTCACTTGAGAAGCTGAGATATAGGCTTATACCACCAAGTACCACCGTTAGCCCCAGGGAAGCAAGCAAGGGCTTAGCCTTGTTGTATTCTGTGTTATATTATAGTTTACAGGACATATGGCTATCCTGAATGAAAGAATGAATGGAATACTTCTAAGATACTTTAAAAGAAGCTGGGCAAAGTTAAGTTATAGAGGCGAAAGGCCTTGCTGGGGAAGAGGTGGGCAGTGCTAAACCAGTACAGGTGTAAGAGATAAAATGAGAATTAGGATCTAACTTTTTAAAATTCAGGCGTTCGATGGGAAACAGTTGGGTGAGAGTGGCCTGAAGATCCCTGGACAGGTGTGAGACCTAGGGCAGACAGCAAGACCTGGCAACCCAAGAACTGGGTCAGACACGTGCTCAAAGACATAACATTCAAAACATCAAAGAAACCCTTGTTCTTAAGGTGTCCCTCGCTGGATTCGAATACTGGTCTTAGAGAGGAAACTCAGAGCGAATCTGAAGAGAATTCTTAGCGTCCGAGCCTGCTGCAGCGCCTGAAAAGCCATTGAGACTAGCACCTCAACCCAGGAACTACAACTCCCATTATGCACAGCGCAGCGCGAGTTTAGACCCGGGATAAACTACAATCCCCAGAATGCTTTGGAAGGGGGAGCGCGGAGCGTGGCTACGTCTACAGTGAGGGACCGTTAAATTTGAAACTTGGCGGCTTAGGCTTGATGGGTCGTGAGGTGGAGGCTTTGGGAAGGAGTTGGGTGCGTGTTTCATTCAGTCTAGGAGCGCGGGGAGACGGTCACCGCAACTCCAGGGTCAGCTGAAGGTTGAGGAAGGAACGTCGGACCGTCGGCACCCGGGGGGAAAAGGTCTGCGGACTGGCGAGAGCAAGAACCGGGAATGCAGGATGGCGGCGGCAAGGAAGGAAGAGCTTGCAGCGAGGTGAGGCCCCGGAGCCCAGCGGCTGCAGCTGGTGCTCAGTGGGCGAGGGCAGGATCGCAGAGGTCGGGGAAGAGCAGGCGCTCCCGAGACCCCTTCCTGATGGCTTGGAGCCCTGCTTCCAGCCGCGAGACAACACTTGGAGAGCTTGGAATTTGCCTTGAGATCTGAGTCTGCTACTTGACTTTGAACATGCGTTATGTGTGTGTGTGTGTGGGGGGGGGTCTTGAGATACTAATGCAGTTTGCTGGAGTTCTGGGAGAATTCAAATTACTTATAAAGCAACTGCTTTCAACTAATAGGTGTTTCGTTATGCCAGTAGCAAAGAGATCTAAAAAGCAGAACATTTGCTGGTTTTCCTCATATATAAAATTATAGAACAGTTTTTCTAGTTTAAAACTTAATATGCATTTTAATTATGGCATCCACAATAGCTGGGTCATTTCCATGTCATAAGCTGTTATTCATGCAACAGAATATGTTGATCACCACGTGAACATTGAAGGTGGACAATAAAAGACATAAAATCCCAACCCTTGTGAAGCTTAAGTTCTGGGGAGGAATGGGGGAAACAATGACTAAGACAGATTTAAAGTCAGAAAAGTCAGATAGCAATCAGTATTAAACAGTGTAAAGCCAGCGGTGGCAGGTAGCGTGGGAGGTGGGCTTGGTGCCAGTTTGGATCTGAGGATGTAACTTGGGTAGGGCCCTTGTCCAAGATACACAAAGCCTTCCTTGGATTTGTTCCCTAGCACTGACAGGGAAAAAAAGATTTGAACAGACTCCACACTAAAGAGATGGTATTTGGGTCAAAACTAGAACTAGTCATGGACACGGCTTTGGAGATAGAGGTGATTGCTAGCTACCAAGACTGGGGACCTCAGGCCCTCAGTTTGGTCCCCACATGGTGGAAGGAGAGAACCAACTCTGAAAAGTTGTTCTTTGACCTCCACATACTTGCTGTGGTGCACACACACACACACACACACACACACACACACACACACACGTACGTAAATAAATAAGCTTTTTTAAGTTTTTTTTTTTTAGGTTTTTTTTCAAGACAGGGTTTCTCTGTAGCTTTGGTGCCTGTCCTGGAACTAGCTCAAGTAGACCAGGATGACTTTGAACTCACAGAGATCCGCCTGCCTCTGCCTCCCGAGTGCCATTTTTTTTTTAAAGCTAGTCATGTACACATATTGTAGTAATTTAGGAAGGGAAGCTGCTGCTGGCATGGTCATTGTCCCAGGAACACTGTCCCCAGCGAGTATGGGGCGATGTCAAGGTGAATATGCCAACGTAGTAATGGCTGGGCTTTCCATTTTGATTGTAATGGAAAAATCACAAGGAGAGTTTTTAGCAAAACAATCATCTGACTTCCACTTAAGTGAGATTTATTTATTGGTTTGCAGTGTTGATAGCAGAAACAGGAAAAACAGAAAAAGGTGGAGACCCACAAACCTGTGAAAACCTAGAGAAAGGGGTTGCTGAGCAAGATTGAAAACAGTGGATATCTTTAGAAGTGGTAGATTTCTGGATTTTTTTTCTTTTTTTCTTTTTTTTTTAAGACAGGGTTTCACTACACACTACGTAGCCCTAGCTGGCCTCCTAAGTGCTGGAACTAAAGGCTTGGGCCACCATGCCTGGCTTCTATTTCTCCGTTTTGTTTGTTTGTTTACTTATTTTTTTTGTTTTTTGAAACAGGGTTTCTTTGTATAATCCTGGCTGCCCTGGAACTCTGTAGACCAGGCTGGCCTCAATCTCACAGAGATCCACCTGCCTCTGCCTCCCGAGTGCTGGGATTAAAGGCATGCGCCACCACGCCCGGCTTATTTCTGTTTTAAATTGAAAGTTAAAACATGACATATTAGTCTGACTAACACTAATTTTGAATAAAACTAGATTGTTCCCTGTTAGACATAAAACTTCTAGCTTAAAAAAAAAGTCCACTTTGCTAAATACACGATGATTTTACAAATTATTTTTTCTGGCTTTAACTTTATTCATATAATATTATCAACAGCACCCCCAAGTTCTCGCTTCCATTAGGTATAAACTTGGAAACCAGGGAGTAGGCTCAGAAGCTGAAGAGTGTGATAATGCTACCAGGGTTCCAGCTCCCTGTGTCCAACTGAAGGTCAGAAAAGCTCACCTGTCCAAAGATGGTGACAGTCTAGTACTGCAACAGCGTTGGTCTCAGGGCTGCTTCTGTTCCTTGTTCACAGTGAAGCCATGTGCCTGGAGGGAGATGAGTGGGAGCTGAGTAAAGAAAACGTACAACCCTTGCGGCATGGCCGGATCATGTCCACACTTCAGGGGGCTCTGGCACAGCAGGAGTCGGCCTGCAACAGGACTCTTCAGCAGCAGAAGCGGTATGTAGTAGCGTGGTATGTAGTAGCGTAGCATGTAGTAAGCGGTTTGGGTCCAACCACAGGGTCTCTTTGTAGCACTGGCTGTCCTGGAACCTACTCCTGTAGACCAGGCTAGCTTTGAACTCACTGAGATGCCCGCCTCTGCCTCCCAAGTGCTGGGATTAAAGGCGCGCGCCACCACCGCCTGGTGATTGCAAGCTTTTTAATTGCATGAGATGGTGTTTATTCCAGGTTAAAATGTAGTGTGTAACCATACTCGTTGCTTTAGGTCTTTGAAAACTGTGTTTTTATGATTATGCTTTAGAGACATAGTATTCTATTCTCGTTTTGGGTTTTTTTGTTTTGGTTTGGTTTTTTGAGACGGGGTTACTCTGTATGTAGTATGTAGTTCCAGGCTGGCTTTGAACTCAGAGAGATCTGTCTGCCTCTGACTAACAAGTGCTAGGATTACAGCATTTGCCCAGTGGTATTTTATTCTTAATGTTTGTTTCTGGCACCTGCAACTTGATCTTGTCCTTGCTTCTCTACTGTCTTGACTGGTGCTGGCTCCCTGATGTGTTTCGTCCCAATCTCTGCCCTCAGCTGTGTTTCCCAGCTACCGTTGACAGCTCTTGCCTTCTCAATGGCTATTCCCCGAATCAGGTGTAGATAGTCCCAAACTTGAGAAGATTCATCTTATGGTTTTATGTGGCTGTGGGAATGATCCTCATTCGGTAGAAAGCATACTTTGAATTTTGGTCTTTTCAAGGAGGAGGGATACTCAATAGGATTGCTCTGAAATGCTGGGTGGTCACAGAGAGGGGGGTACCCTGCATCTCTGAGAGACTGAGCCATGTTGCTAACTTGTGGTGTTTGGTAGGATAAATGTATTTAATGCACTTTTACCAAGGGTACTTTTTTCTTTTCCTTTGGGTTTTATTTATTTATTGTTTGGTTTTGGTCGGGCCTTTTCATCAGGACCGCCGGTTCCTCAATAATGACACAGAGACATTATTATTATTATTATTATTATTATTATTATTATTATTATTATTATTATTTTGATTTTTGAGACAGGGTTTCTCCGTAGCTTTTGGTTCTTGTCCTGGAACTAGCTTTTATAGACCAGGCTGGCCTCGAACTCACAGAGATCCGCCTGCCTCTGCCTCCCAAGTGCTGGGATTAAAGGCATGCGCCACCACTGCCTGGCAGAGACTTATTATTAATTGTAAAAGCTCAGCCATAGCTTAGGCTTGTTACTGACGAGCTCGTACAAACATTTCTCTTAGTTTGCATGTCTTGTGGCTTTACCTCTTGTCTTGTCTTGCTTCCTTTGCATCTCCTGGCTACTCCATCTTTCTTTTTCCTAGTGTCCTGTCTGGCTGTCCTGCCTGTACCTCCTGCTGTTTAGCTTTTTATTAAACCATTAAGAAGGCACCTTGGCAAAGACATATCTTCACAGTGTACAAAAAGATTATCACATAATGATTGGTTGATTGATTGAGACAGGATTTTTCTGTGTAGCCCTGGCTGTCCTGGGGAACTCACTCTGTAGACCAGGCTGGCCTCAGATATACAGCGATCTGTAAAGTGCTGGGATTAAAGGTGCGAACCACAACTGCCAGGCTACTTAGTTTATTTTCAACTGTGACAGGTTTATCTGGATGTAATTCTGTTGTCAGATAACAAATGTCTTCACTCCCAAATGACCCTCCTTTTTCTACTTCCCCATTTTGGTTAACGCTACAAAAACTCTTCTGAAGGACTTATTCGTTGCTCTCTGATTCCCTTTTTGTTAAAAAAAAAAAATTGTTGTCAATTATTTTTTTCTTTTGTTTTCAATTATGTGTATATATGTGAGTATGTGTGTGTGAGTACAAGTTCCCAGGGAGGTCAGAAAGGGCTTTGATCCCTGTGAGCTGGAGCTGTAGGCTGCTGTGAGTTGCCCAGCATGGGTACCTCTGCTCTGCAAGAACAGCCAGCGTACTTTCTTAACCCCTGAGCCTCCAGAGCCAGCCCTTCAGCCTTCTCTCTCTCTCTCTCTCTCTCTCTCTCTCTCTCTCTCTCTCTCTCTCTCTCTCTCTCTCTCTCTCTCTCTCTGTCTCTCTCTCTGGGATGGCTCCAGGGCCTCCTGAGTACCGAGCTCACATTTCACCATTGAGGCACCCGCAGCACTGACATCCCTGCGGAGGATGTAGTTGGAGGGAAGGCTTGGATTCTAAAGTGTGCTAGTAAAGCGGTGCATTCGTCCTAGCACCTGACTCCTCTCTCACTCTCCCCTCCTAGAAGCACCTGCTGCTGAGAAGTCTGTCAAAGCCACTTTGCTGCTCTGGAGTTTTGTTGTTTGTTTGGGGCAGGGCCTTGCTCTGTAGCCTAGGCTGGCTTTAACTTGTGGTCACCTCCTGCAGTCTCCCAGGTGATGGACTTGCAGGTGTGTGTCAGCATGCTCAGCTTATTGTAGAATTTTTTATAAATAGGATGGTAGTTGGTTTTGTGTGTGTGTGTGTGTGTGTGTGTGTGTATGTGTGTTTGTTTTACTCTTTTGGCTCTTTACTCTTTGGGGGCCTGCCCCTCAGCTCCTCAATAATCACACACGAAAATTCTTTCTTATGAATACCCGGCCTTTGCTTGGCTTGTTACTAGCCAGCTTTTCTTTTTCTTTTTTTTTTTTTTTCAAGACAGGGTTTTTCTGTAGCTTTGGAGCCTGTCCTGGAACTAACTCGTGTAGTTATGCTGGCCTCAAACTCACAAAGATCCGCCTGCCTCTGCTTCCCGAGTGCTGGGATTAAAGGCGTGCGCCACCACCACTCAATTTAGCCAGCTTTTTTAAAATTAACCCAACTACCTTTTGCCTCTGGGCTTTTATCTTTCTCTATTTCTGTATACCTTTCTTTACTTCTTACTCCGTGGGTGTAGCTGGCCCCTGAAGTCCTGCTCTCCTTGTTCACCCCTCCTTTCTCCTTTTCTCCTCTCTGCCTGCTAGCCTCACTGGTCCTTCCTTCTGTTGCACTACTGACTGTTCACTCTATTAGAACCAACCGTCAGCAAAGAATCACAGCTTCCCAGTTAATCAAATGCAACATAAACAAAAGTAACACACCTGAAAACAATATTCCCCAACGCCTTTCTTCTTACTCTGTGGCTTGCTATGTAGCTGGGTGGCTGACCCCATGTCCTCCTCTCCTCTTCTCTGCTCCTTGACCTTTTAGTTCCTAGATTTCTTGTCCTATTTATTCTCTCTGCCTGCCAGCCCTATACTTCTCTCCTGCCTTGCTATTGGTTGTTCAGCTTTTTATTAAATCTGTCAGGTGTTTTAGGCAAAGTAACACCGCTTCACAGAGCTACACAAATGCAGCCTAAAGGAACGTAACACATCTTTGCATCATTAAACAAATATTCCATAGTATAAATAAATGTAACACAGCAAGTAATATTCCACAACATAGACTCATGGATCTTTCATTTAGTGTAATTTTAAGTACTTTTCATGTCACATATATCAGTGGACTGTCCCTTTTTATAGCTGAGTAAGTATTCTAATATTCACCAGTTGTTGGACGTTTTGGTTTGTTCTTTTGCGCTTTGTAAATGAGCCCAGTGTGGATTTTTGACAAGGCTTTTTGTGAACATCATCCTCACCCCACCCCCTTGGAATGGAATTGTTAGATCACAGAGTGTCTTAAACCCAGGACCATAAAGGCCAGTGATCTACTGGAAAAATACCTCTTTTCTTTGATATATTATAGTTGCTTCCTAGTTCCTACCCCTATTTTTACTTCTTAAAACCTTTACTGGAGCCCAGCCTGGTCAACTCAATAAACAACAAAATGTAATGATTTTCCAAATTATTCTATTATTAATAAAAACTTGGGAGACAGATAGTAGGGTATGAACCTGGTAGACTAAAAAAGCCACAGAGAAAAACCAAGCTGACCCTCCTCTTTGCTTTTCCAAGATCCAAAAAGGCCCAAAAAACTCTGGTTCATTCTGGTCAGCTTAGCTTGAACTCTGTCCTCTGGGTCAAGGTTGAGTTTATTAGCAGTTTTGGAGGACGGTCTACAAATCCGCAACAACAAAACACCTTTACTATCTGTTCTTGGCAAGTACCATGCCTGTTTTGTATTATTGATTTTTTTTTTTTCACTTTTATACTTTGGTTTTTTTATTAGGAGTATATTGTTTGGTGTCAAACTGTTTTAACACAAACTGTTTTGTTTATCTATTGATTTGAGGCAAGACTTCACCAAATATCCTAGGCTATTTTTGAACTTACTGTGGTAGCCCAGACTGGCCCTGAATTTACAGGATTTTGGTCAACGTCTATTGTGCTACAATTACAGATATATGGCATTTGGCTATTTTATTATTAGTATTGTTTGTTTTTCAAGATGACTTCTCTGTGTAGTCCTGGCTGTCGTGGAACTCGCTCTATAGATCATGCTGGCCTCAAACTCAGATATCTGCCTGCCTCTGCCACCCAATGCTGAGATTAAAGGCACGTATCACTGCACTCAGCATTTTCTTTATAATAATTATTGTGCATATTTTTTATTACTTGATGTTTTGATACGTGTCTATATTTTAGTCATTTTCACACTCCCCCTTTGCCCTTTCTTATCCCCTCTAACTCTTGCTGAGCTTCCTTTTCTTCCCAGTAAGATCATTCTTGTTTTCATGTTTCTGCTTTGTTTTGTGTTGTGTTGTGGTGTGTGTGTGTGTGTGTGTGTGTGTGTATGTGTGTGTGTGTGTGTGTGTGTGTGTGAGAGAGAGAGAGAGAGAGAGAGAGAGAGAGAGAGAGTGTGAGCGCTCCATTGAGTTGAATTAGGGTTGGTTGCTTCCATGAATTGTGGGCCCATGGGTAACCTAGTGAGTCTACCCCTAAAAACCATGATTTGACCCTCCAGCAACCATTAGCTGCCTGTGAGGACTCATGAGCCCTTTCTCACCCAGGGTTGAATGTCACTGGGCCTCATCATGGTTTTACTTTGTTTTGTTTTTTTAGGATTATTTATGTGTGGAGGTCAGAAGACAACTTGCAGGAATCTGTTCTCTTCTTCTCTGGAGTTCTAGGGACCCAACTCCTGTCCTCAGGGTTGGCAGTGAGTGCGTTTACAAACCACTGAGCATCTCACTGGCCAGTGGGCGTGCTCTTGTCTTGTGCACACAACCACCACTGCTGTGTGTTGGTGGTTGCGTTAGTTGTGTCTTGGCCAGGAAACATTTTATGATGCTTTTCTTCATTCCCCATCCCTTAGGATCTTCCCACCCTCTCTTGTGTGTTGTCCTGAGCCTGGGAGGGGGTGGTGCAGATGCGGTTGAGGCTGAGCAGTTGCAGTCCCTGGTTCTCAGCTCTTTGCCTGGCTAGGGCTCTGTCTTTACTGTCCCCCCACAACAGGCTTCGCTAACCAGAGCTGATGCATAGTCCCTCTTGGGCTCTTATCTTTACATGCATGTTCCCACACAGAAACACTATTAAAAATAAATCTTTATTTAAATTGATTTTATTTAACTCTACATTTTTCTCTGCTCCCCTCCCTTTCTCTCCCCTCCTCTTCAACCCTCTCCCATGCTTCCAATTTACTCAGGAGAGCTTGTCTTCTGCTTCCCATGTACATTAGATCCTGTCTCTCTTAGGGTCCTCATTGTTGTCTAGGTTCTCTGGGATTGTGATTTGTGGGCTGGTTTTCTTTGCTTTATGTTTAAAAATCACTTATGAGTGAGTACATGTCATAATTGTCTTTCTGAGTCTGGGTTACCTCACTCAATATGGTGTTTTCTAGATCTATCCATTTGCCTGAAAATTTCAAGATGTCATTACTTTTTTTCTGCTGTGTAGTACTCCATTGTATAAATGTATCACATTTTCCTAAAAATAAATCTTTAAAAATATAAACAAACCTAATAGGTAGTATTATGATCCCATTTTATAGGTGAAGAAATTTAAAACAGCAAAGTAACTATCATTGTTTAAATTAATGAATGCTGGGATTAGAGGAGGCCTGCAACACCACACCTGGCTTAGAATATTATTATTTTTTTTTTGTGTGTGACAGGGATTCTCTGTGTAGCCCTGGCTGTCCTGGAACTAGCTCTTGTAGACCAGGTTGGCCTTGAACTCAGAGATCCGCCTGCCTCTGCCTCCCAAGTGCTGGGATTAAAGGCCTGTGCCACCACCGCCTGACAATTATTTCTGTTTTTATGTGTTTAAGATTTTTTATTAGTTTTTATTGAGGTATATGTATATGTGGCTGTGTACAAGTGGGCGCAGGTGTCTGCTAAGGCCAGAGGCTTCAGATCCCTATAACCTGGAGTTCAAGGTGATTGTGGTACACCCTTTTTGGGTACTCTGTAAGAGCCCTGTTTTTTTGAAAGATTCTATTTTTGGAAGGGTGGGACTGGAGAGATGACTCAATGGTTCAAAGCACTGTTCCTGTAGAGGATTCAGATTTGTTTCCCAGCTCTCTTGGTGGCTCACAGCCAACTGTACTTCTTTCACATTCTCTTGTAGCCTCCTTGGGCACTGCACACTTGTAGCAGACATATATACATTCAGGCAAACACTCGAATACATAAAATAAAGCTGTAGATAGTTGAGAGACTCCTGATGCAGTGCTTGGAAACTTGGGTAGTCTGCAAGAGCAAGCAGCACACACTCAGCCTCCAATTAGTAAAAGCTATTTGGGAACGATTAGAAAGTGTGTCCTTGTTGGGGGAACAGCATCACTGGGGGTGGGCTTTGAGGTTTTAAAAGTGTGGCGCTGGCCTGCTGCCACACTCCCTGCCACGATGGCTGAAGGCCATGGACTCTAAATCATCTGAAACTGTAAGCCACACCCCCAATAAGCTCTTCCTTCTCTAGGCCGTGGTGTTTCACCACAGACTGGGACAGCACTCTTACCTGCTGAGCCCTCTCTCCAGCCCAAACAGCATTCCATAATTGATTTGCTGTGATTGTTTTGTTTTTTGTTTTTTTTTTAACTGGCAACTGAGTCTAGGGTCTCTGTACCATTGAATTAAACCCCCAATGTAACCTCTAGGATAGTTGTTTAGATCAATTTGAAGCACTTGACGGGTGACTCGAAATGAGCCCTGCCAGCTGTGTGTGCTAACATGGTCTGTTTCAATTCCAGGATGTTTGAATCCGAAATCCGCTTTTACTCTGGAAGTGACCCTCTGTGTGTGTGGGACCGGTGAGTATTGTAAGTGGAAGGAGCAACAGAGGCATTCACAGGTGAATCTTTTGGGCCTTGTTTCTCAAACTGAGGGCTATGGAGTGGTGAACAGAGCAGAAAGTGTTGTCTTGGCGAGGCCGACTTTGGAACAGCCACAGTGGTTTTCTGAGGTGTTTGTTTCGCAGGGCTGTGTGTAGAGCCCAGGACTTTACACATGCCAAGAAAGAAGGGCTGTAGTGCCGAGTTAAGTTCAGTTTCCCCGAGGGCTTTAAGACTGGAGTATGACACAACTTTGAGGTGCGTCTGTCCATCATTTTCCACAGCATTTGTTGCAGGTACTTCAAGAGAGTTTGAGAGATGGAGGCTTAGGATTTGTCATTGAGCACTGCTAAAGATACATACTTTGAATATATTCAATAGTTTTTGCTGAAAAATTCAGAATAGAGGGCTAGAACGAATGGCTCATCTGTTAAGAGCACTTGCAGAGAGGATTGGGTTGGCTTCCCAGCTCTCATGTGGCTGCTTTCAACCTTATGGAAGTCCAGTCCCAAGGGATCTGATGCCCTCTTCTGGCCTCTGCTTGCCTTGCACATATGTGGTACACAGGCACATGCAGACAAAACCCATACACACAAATAATAAAATAAGCAAATCCAGAATGGGTTAGGTGTGGTGGACATGCCTTTAATCCCAGGATTCAGGAAGCAGAGGTAGGCATATCTCTTTGAGTTGAGCGCAGCCTGGTCATAGTTGAGTACAGGCCAGCCAGGGCTAAATAAGTCTCTGTCTCAAAACAAAAGCAAAAATCCCGTTGAGAATGAGACTTAGAACTAGAGCAAAAGTATACATCAATTCAAAAATTTTTCTTTCTCCTCCCATCCAGGTATATTAGCTGGACAGAGCAGAACTATCCTCAAGGGGGAAAGGAGAGTAACATGTCCACGTTACTAGAGCGAGCTATAGAAGCTCTACATGGAGAGAAGCGTTACTATAGCGACCCCCGCTTTCTCAACCTCTGGCTCAAATTGGTAAGTGTCTTCTGAATTCAAAATATTAAATGAGATTTTTCCTATAGAGATCTTAGGAGTAAACAATTGGAAACTCCAGTAACCATTTGAGCTAGGCATGGTGATCCATAAAATCTCTGCTTGGGAGTCTGAGCCTGGAGGATCACAAGTTGAAGCTATTCCGGTCTACATTGTCAGATCCTGTTTTATAAAACTAGCCAAAAGCCTTGAAAAAACAAAACAGATGTTAACACTGGTAGAACATCTAAATGCACCATCATTTTTTTTTTAGTAACTTCTATGTTTATTGTTTAAAAGATTTTATTCATTTTTATTCTATGTGTATGAGTGTTTTCCTGCGTGTATGTAAGTGTGTTCTTGGAGGGTATTGGATCCCCTGGGTGGCAGGGAAACAGAGATAGCTTCATTTTTCTGCCGCCCAGACCTAAATAATCACACAGAAACTTTATACAACACTGCTTGGTCAACAGCTTAGGTCTGTTCCTACCTAGCTCTTATGTCTTAAAATAACCGATTTCTATTTATCTGTGTATCGTCGTGAGGCAGTGCCGTCTTTCTCCTTCAGCATTTCTCTGACTCCACCTACTCTGGCTTTACTCTGCTAAGCCATTGGCTAAAACAGTTTTATTCATCAACCAATAAAAACAACGTATATACAGAAGGACATCTCATAACGTTTGTGAGCCTCCCTCTTGGTACTGGGAACCGAACCTGGGTCCTCTGAAGAGCAAATCCTTTTAACCATTGAGCCTGCTCTCTCCAGTTCCAACTCTGTGTTCTGTGAATACCCTAAGCCCAGACCTATTAGTATAAGCCTATAATCCAACTACTTGGGAGGCTGAGGCAGGAGGATCACAGAGCAAAGCTCTGCCTGGGCAATATAATATACTCAAGGCCAGCCCAAGGACATAAGATTCTTTCTCAAAATCCAGTAAGAGATAATGGGAGTCCCTTACTGGTGGACCGCTTTTCTAATGCTGCATAGTGGCAGGTTCAAATCCCAGTAGCAGTGAAAAAATATCAGTTCACAGCAAAGTAGAAATCTTCAAATATGTATGCACACGTGTGCACATCCGTGCACACAGGCTCCTTCCTCACAGATAATCTGAAGCCCTGGTCTAGACAACCATTATATTGAAATGTTCAGCTGTAAAATTACCAGCAGGAACTAAATTTTGTATATGGAGCAACAAAGCACATAATAAACTACTTTACTTTTTCTTTCTTTGTGAGGGTGTTCACAAGGTATAAATGAAGAATTCCTCATACCATACCTTTCTCTCGCTTTATGAAAAGTTTTTTCTAGCCAGTTATTTTATAAATGATTCCTGTAATCTAGCTAAAAAAAATTGTTACTAGAAAATCAATATTTTTAGGTAAAGAGGTAAAATTAGTTTGAATGTTTAGAAGTTGCCAAGAAATATTTCACTTTTGAATCTGTTCATTTAGCCATATTGTCTTTTTGTTTGTTTGTTGTTTGAGACAGCTCTGGCTGGCCTGGTACTCATTCTGTAGACCAGGCTGGCCTGGAACTCAGAGATCCGCCTGTTTCTTCCTCCTGAGTGCTGGGGTTAAAGGTGTGTGCTGCCGTTGCTCAGCTGCCACATTGTCTTTTTATTTATGTTGTGTCTTAAATGTTCTTGTTCAACACTCTGAGTAATTTGACCTTTATTGGTTATGCTGTATGCAAGAGCATAGGTCACTCAGAAAGCTGCATATATTAAATGATTGTTAAGCTTTATTTGTACAATGACAGAACCCAAAATGGATCTTAAACTGACACCACACTAAAGTGAGTTTTCCTAAACACCATGAGAAAACAGTACTAATGTAAAGAAAACATTATTTACTGAATTCAATTATGCAAACTTAAACTATGAAACAATTGTTTTTGTTAAAAATGTAAATGGAAGCTGGACAGAATCTGTAAGTACTCAAAAGTTAGCCAATAGGATCCTCAAAAGTTTGAGGCTAGTCTGGTCTAATAGGGAGTTCCAAGCCAGAGATACATGGCACAACCCTATCTCCAAAATCCAAAATAAAATAAGGTTAAACATTTTTAGATGGGATGTTTGATTTAGTTCACATTTGTCAAATAAAAAATTTAAATGGAGTATTTCATTTATTCCAGACTAGTCACATAAAACTCTGGCAAGAAACAAGGATATTTGTGATATTTGTAGGAAGCAATGCTTTCTACCTTTGTGGGGCCTGTTTTATTAGAGAAGATAAGTTCGAAACAGTGAGTGTAAGTGTAGCAGCATCATTCCAAAAGGCCGCATATGCAGATAGTTACAGGGAAGGTACAGGAAGACATATAAGGACCTGGTCTAGTATTGCAGGTTAGGAATAGATAGACTCTCGTACAAAGTGTGATGTACTAAATTTTAGCATTTTAAATCTGTATATTCCTCTTAGAAAGCAACTGATTACTTTGAGCATAACTTGACTTCTAGGGGTTTATTTGTTTCCTTTGTGTCCTATGGTGTATTTTACAAGTGAGCCATCTACTCAGCCTGCTTCAATTATTTTATGGCTGCATAGTGTTAATCAATTGACATTCTCTAATTTGTTAACGAATTTTTCTGTATTTAAACAACTTCTAATTTTCCTCAGAAAATAAATATTTTTTTAAAAAACTCTCTTTATGCATTTTACATTTGTCCCTTAACCTCCTAGAGGGACGAGAAAGGTGGCTTGGTTGTTGAAGTGCTTGCTGTACAAGCAGAAGGCCCTGAGTCCTGATCCCAGCGCTCATGCAAAGCATCTGCAGTCCTGGTGCAGGGGAGTCCCCGAGCTCAGTGTCAGCCAGGCTTGCAGAGCCAGGGAGCTCCAGGTGGAGTGAGAGCCCTTATTTCAAAAGATACGGTCATTATGGAGGAAGACGCCTGTCTCTACCCCCATGTGCACCTGTCTACACTGCTACACCAGCACACAGACAGGAGGAGGAGGCATGGCCTCACTCATGTCCAGGCTGGCCTGGAACTCACTCTTTAGACTGTAGACTAGGATGACCTTGAATTCTGGTAATCCTGTTGCTTCTCCCTCTCCAGTGCTAGCAGTGCTAGCTGTGACTGAGCAGTCACAGAAGCATGACCAGTGATTCTTGTAATTGTTATGGCTACTGGGGCCACCAGGCTGTGTAGTGCTTGGATCCATCTCTCTGCTCATTCTTACTTTTAACTGGGATAATACTGTGTGCTGGGCCCAGCTGCTCCCCCAACCTTTCAGCAGAAGAACGTGGTCTCCGTCCGCTCTGAAGTGCTGCTGCCTAATTCCCAGCTGTCAGTGCTCTTTGGGTATTTCCACATGGAAGGGGCCTAAGGCCAGGCCTTCTTGTCTCTGCTGCCAAAACCCCATTAGGTCATCCTAGCCCATGAACTCTCCCCACGTGGCCCTGGAGTCTGCTTTAAAGCCTCTACTTCCTGTCCTCCTGCCCTCTCCCTAGGTGTTGATCCCCCCCCAACACTCCTCTTTATCTTCCTGCAGTGTGTGCTTTCGACAAGGGCGGGCTCAGCAGTGTGCGGTAATGCTCCCATAGAGCAAGCTTAAACTCTGATTCGGGTTCTTTTCTAGTAGTTTAGTGGCGTGACTATTGTACTGTGATGTCAGTCTAATAATACAAACTATGGAGGCTTGCTGTTTATTCTGAATGTGAATTAACTTCTTATTCTAACTATTGTTTTTATGTGTTAAATGACCTTTATGTATTGCTCAATAAAAATTTGAGGCCAACTGTGGTGGCTCCGTCTGTAATGCTAGCCTTGAGAGGTAGAAGTAAGAGAATTACTGTATGTTCAAGGACATCCTGGTCTAAATGCTGAGTTCCAGGCCAGCCTGGGCTATGAGCGAGACTACCCCCCCCATAAATAAATAAATAATATGTTTATACGTGTATATATAAAGGATACAGTAAAGTTTTCTTATGGCTAGGAGATGTAGAAATGTGTCAAAACTTAGTATGATATTTTAATTTTTTCTCTTTTGCAGTTAAAATTTTCTCTACTATACCTGATTACATAGTTCCTTAAATATAGACTTGACCAAATCTTGTCTTTGCTTTTAAATCTCTCAGCACAGAATATATTTATCATCAGATAGAAGCAGAATCAATTGGATTGACATTTAAGACCTGTCCCAGCCTTTACTCCAGACTCCCCATCTTGCCCCGCCCTGGTAGAGTTTCTCCTGTCTTCACTCACCTTAGAGTAGGGAACACCCTACTCTTCCCTGCTGTCTGCGGAATGACCAGTTCCCTTCCAGTCAGCTAAAGGTCCCTTCCTTTCTTTCTTGCAAGTCAATCTCTTACTCTTGTTCCTTTCTTGGGTCCTTATTCCGGTATATTTTAATACTGGGTTAATTATAATATAATTATAAGATAGATACATACTCCTAGTGCAGGAACTACAGATAGTTTCCCTAGTATGTGTTTGGCACACAGGTGTTTGACAAGTGGAAGAAAGCCGACTGACTGTTACCACTTCTGTTCCAGGGGCATCTGTGCAATGAGCCCTTGGATTTGTACAGCTACTTACACAGCCAGGGGATTGGTGTCTCCCTTGCCCAGTTCTACATTTCATGGGCTGAAGAATACGAAGCTAGAGAAAACTTCAAGAGAGCAGACGCAGTGTTCCAGGAAGGGATTGAACGCAAGGCCGAGCCCCTGGAAAGACTGCAGTCCCAGCACAGGTAGTTGGTTTCTCTGGAGCCCGCCTTAACCCTTGATTAGATACCCAAAGAATGTGCTGTTGAGTTACGTTTACTTCCTTACCATCTTACATGTTTTACATTCTCAAGTGTGGATGATTCTGGACCCTGTAGAGAATGTGCTCGTGCTGTCCTTCCCTAACCCTCACAAACTCTATAGTTGTACTGTTCCATGGATGTCACAGAACAGCCACAGTATGTAAGCTTTTGGTTTGTTTGCTTCAAGATAGGGTTCCTCTGTAGCTCTGACTGTCCTGGCCTCAAACTCACTGAGATCTGCCTGCCTCAGCCTCTGATTGTGAGGTTAGAGGCTTAAAATGGCCTTTATTCCAGCATTTTTAAAAATGGTTTATTTTTTATAACCTTTTGAGTTTAGTTCCTTTAATTGTGCTTTTAAGAATTCCTTACAAGGCTTTTGTAATATATATGATTTGCAAGTGTTTTTTTCCTCGATTAAGTAGTTTTTATTTTTTTTATTTAAATTTATGGTGTTGCGAGATAGAACCCAAGCCCTCATTAATTATTATTTTAACTATCAAATGTAATAAAAAATTTCAATTTTGAAAAACTCCATTGTATGAATTAAGCTTTTTGTGTTGTATCTGTCTTTTCTGGTTCCTAGCAGTAATGGTGGCTTATATTCTAGGACCTGACACCCTCTTCTGGCCTCCACTGGTACCAGACACATGGGGTGCACAGGCATACATCAGACAAAACACTCATATGCATAAAATACAAATTAGATTTAAAAATTAGATGCTTTTACTATTATCTCAAGGGTCATAGTTATAATAACTATTTTAAAATCTGAAAATAATACAGTTTTTTAGAAATAAAAAGCTCTGAAAGCATCAGCATGTGGGCAGTCTTGAAGTCAGCGTTTGTCATTTATTCTCCCTTGAGAATCAGCCACATTTTCCTGTTAATTGTGTGAAGGAATGTGCTACAGGCCGGGCATTTATTCTGATAGTGTGCTGGAGCCTGTTTAGTGACAGTCTCTGGAGAGTGAGCGGTGATGCCCATTGTCCTAGACAACTGAATCCCAGATGCCACACAACCTGTGGCAGTGGTTGTGGTATGGTCAGTTGAGCCTTTGTCCTTTGTGGTGCTGTTTGGTCTGTCTCCTACATGTGCTGCTGGGCTAGTGAGACTTGGGCAGTGGATCCCGTCAGAGTTCAGTTCTCAAGGAGTGAGCACGGGGGAGTCCAGCGTATTCCTCTCCGCTATTCTAGTAGTTTCCGGCCCTCAGAATCCCCTGCTTCCGTTCCTTTGGTCAGAAAGAGAATTTCTCAAGGAGTTGTAGGGTTTCCCAAACCACCATTGCGGTAGATAATCACAAGAGAAAACAAGAAACACAACGGAGAACAGCAGCACAGGTGTCTAAGCGCCACACTGCCACAGTTGTCTTGCTTTTGTTAACCCTCCAGAGTCATGGGGTCTCTTTTTATGTGTTTAGAGTTTCAGATTGAGGCTGCAGGCTTGTACTGTGTCCTAGTGAGCACCACAATCTATAGACTTCTTTCTTTTCCAGTATACTATAAAATTATAGCAGCAACAGCAGAGACGTTTTGTTTTCAAATTTTTGCCAACTGTGCTAAAGTAAGATGCGTTGTATGTTTTTCATATGGTTTGTAAGAAAAGCTGTATGTATGTGGAGGGGTGGCGGTTGTGGCAGGATACTAGCTAGCCATTGGTGGGTCCAGGCGAAGGGCGTTTGGATATATTCTTTCGCTCTTTCCACAATTCTGTAATTCTTATTTTTAATTTGAAACTATGAATTTCATCAATTTTCTAGTCTTAGCTGATCCTCTGATCACTCTGATGGTAAGTTTTAGAGTATTTTCAATGGGTCAAACGAGTGTTTTAATGGACCCTGAGTCATCTAGCTATGACGTCCTTATGTCTTGAGCTTGCTCTCCTTGTTCTTAGAGAACAAGTCTCCTGCGTCAGTTGCACACAGTTTTCTCTAGTCTGCTTTTGTTGTGTGAGAACTGGTCATTTCAATTAAAAGCCGATCGTCCTTTGTCATGCCTTAGACAATTCCAGGCCCGAGTGTCCCGACAAGCTCTCTTGGCACTTGAGAATGAAGAGGAGGAGGAGGTGTTGGGGTCTTCTGTACCACAGAGAAGCACACTAGCTGAGCTGAAGAGCAGAGGGAAGAAGATGGCGAAGGCGCCCATCAGCCGTGTCGGAGGTGCTCTGAAGGGTGAGCTTGCTAGTGTTGTTTTGGAGCCCGTAGTCTTTTGCGGTGGGCAGATTATGTAGGAAGGCAACACATAAATATACATGTGGACACTGCCCTAGTTTTCTGAATACTAGGTAGCAAAAAGAAAAGCCAAAAAGAAAGCTAATATCATAGGGTGCAGGAAAGCCAAAGGTGGCGGTTGTGAGGAAACCTGATATTTGAGATGTGTCATTTTCTTTTCTTTTTTTTTATGGAACGCTCATGGATTTGCATGTCATCCTTGCGCAGGGGCCATGCTAGTCTTCTCTGTATCGTTCTAATTTTAGAATATGTGCTGCCGAAGCGAGCACAGAGATGTGTCGTTTTCTAAACGTTGTAGTTGGCATTAGGTAAGTAGTAATATAGTAGATATTATTGAAATAATGCTTAAATGCATTAATGCCTTAGAGAATACTGTTAGTTAAGAATATCATTTTTTGCTGGGTGGTAATGGGGCACAGCTTTAATCCCAGCACTCAGGAGGCAGAAGCAGGTGGATCTCTGAGTTCAAGGCCAGTCTTGTCTACAGATGGGGTTTCAGAATAGCCAGAGTGACACAGAAAAGCCCTGTATAAATAAAACAAAAACTAACCAACTAAACAAATATTAGGCAGTATTACAATGCTGACTGAAAGAATAACAGATTGGATGTGAGTCAAGTGCAGTGGTGGCTCCTTTAGCACAGGGCTAGGAGCAGAGGCAAGCAGATCTGAGTTGGAGACCAGCTTCGTCTACATTGTGAGTTCCAAGCCAGCCAGGGCTATGCAGTAAGACCCTATCTCGAAAATAAAAACAAAAAGCCTGAAGAGGTGACGGGAGAAAAGGCTCAGGAGTTAAGTATATTTGCTGTTCTTCCAGAGGACCTGAGTTCTGGCCCCAGCGCCCACACCAGGCAGCTCACAGCCGTGTGTAAGTCTAGCTGCAGGCGACCCAGTGCCTTTGGCCTCTGTAAGCAGCTGCACATGCACGTGTGTACTGCGTGCAGACCCACACCCTGCACATGATTAAAAATAGTAACGATAAAACCTTTTTTTTTTTTTAAAGATAAATCTTAAAGAAGACTGGAAGTGTTAGGACAAGGGGGAAAGGAAAGAAAATAAGATAAAATGTATAAAAATGTTAGTAGTTGGATCATTGAGAATTTATTACTATCTTTTATTAAGATTTATTTATTTTTTTTAATTTTTTTTTTTTTACTGAGAAAGATCAAAACTTTACTAATGCATATTCCCTATCGAACACATTTATCAGAGTTGCACAGATAGGCCATGTTTTCTCTTTCACTATTTACACATGCTGCTTTTGAAATGGCCTACTCAGAAACATTTCCATTGCTTCCTCTCTGGTTTTCAACCTAACAGTGAGCCAGATCTTAAATTTAATGACTATACCCCTCTCTGAATCTGAATTTTTTTAATTAATTTATTTATTAAAAATTTCTACCTCCTCCCATTTCCCTCCCACTCTCCCTTCCTTTCCAGTCCTAAGAGAAGTCAGGGTGCCCTGCCCTGTGGGAAGTCCAAGGCCCTCCCACTCCATCCAGGTCTAGGAAGGTGAGCATCCAAACAGACTAGGCTCCCAAAAAGCCAGTACGTGCAGTAGAATCAAAACCCAGTGCCATTATCATTGGCTTCTCAGTCAGCCCTCATTGTCAGCCACATTCAGGGAGTCTGGTCTGATCACATGTTGGCCTTGGTGAGCTCCCATTAGATCAGTCGCACTGTCTCAGTGGGTGGACACACCCCTCGCACAAATGGCCAAAAGACACTTAAGGTCATGTTCAATCTCCTTAGCGATCAGAGAAATGCAAATCAAAACAACTTTGAGATACCATCTTACATCTGTCAGAATGGCTAAAATCAAAAACACCAATGATAACCTATGCTGGAGAGGATGTGGAGTAAAGGGAATACTCATCCATTGGTGGGAATGCAAACTTGTGCAACCACTTTGGAAATTAGTATGGCGATTTCTCAGGAAACTGGGAGTCAACCTACCTCAGGATCCAGCAATTCCACTCTTGGGAATATACCCAAGAGATGCCCAATCATACTACAAAAGCATTTGTTCAACTATGTTCATAGCAGCACTATGAACCTGGAAACAACCTAGGTGCCCCTCAGTAGAAGAATGACTAAAAAAAGGTGTGGCACATATATACATTAGAGTTCTACTCAGCGGTAAAAAACAGTGACATCTTGAATTTTGCATGCAAATGGATGGAAATAGAAAACACTTTACTGAGTGAGATAACCCAGACCCAAAAAGATGAATATGGTATGTACTCACTCATAAGTGGATTCTAGCCATAAACAAAGGACACTGATTTGGGATCCTAGAGAAGCTAAATAAGAAGGTGAACCCAAAGAAAAATATATATTTATTCTCCTGGATATTGGAAGTAGACAAGATCGCCGGACAAAAGTGGGGAGCACGGGGGTGGGGTGGGGGGAAGGGGAGAGGGGGAGAGAGAAGGGAGAAGGGGAAGATTGGGGAGAGCTTGGGAGGAGAATGGGATGGTTTGTTGAAATAAGAGCGGCGGCGGGGCTGCGTCCCCAACACCCCGGCCGCTTGGCTAGCTCATGCCCGAAATAACAACATACAAACTGTATTCAGTTAAACACTGCTTGGCCCATGAACTCTAACCCTTACAGGCTAATTCTAGCACCTGGACTAGCCCATTTCTAATGATGTGTGTAAGCACCCCAAGGTGCGCTTACCGGGAAGATTCTAGCCTCCGTCCATCATGGTGTCCGGGAGCAGAGCAGAGTCTGACCTCACTTCCTCTTCCGCCCAGCATCCTATCCTGTTTATTCCGCCCACCTATCTTTTAGCCTATCAGGGCCAGCAGTTTCTTTATTGTTCAGCCAATGAAATCAACAGATTGATATGACACTCCCACATCAATGGCTGAGATGGAGATAGAGTGGATGTGGGAGCAGGGAAGAAGATATCTTAATTAAGGGAGCCATTTTAGGGTTGACAAGAGATTTGGCTCTAGAGCAGTTCCCAGGTGTCCAAGGAGATGTCCCCAGCTAGGGCCTCAGGAAGCAGAGGAGAGAGTGCCTGAACTGGCCTTATTCCATAGCCACACTGGGATGAATATCTTGCATATCACCATCCAGCAATGGATGTAGATAGAGACAGAGAACCACATTGGAGCACTGGACTGAGCTCCCAAGGTCCAGATGAAGAGCAGAAGGAGGGAGAACATGAGAAAGGAAGTTAAGATTTAAGTATTAGTATGTTTGTGGGTCTGTGTTTAGATACATGCATGTTGAGTGCAGGTACCCGTGGAGACCAGAGGAGGGTTTCTAGAATTACAGTGATTATGAGCCACCCCATGTGGGCACTAGGAACTCAGCTCAGGTCTCTCTGCAAGAGCAGTATGTGCTCTTAACTGCCAAGCCATCTCTTTAACCCAATTTAAGGTTTTTCAAGAAAAAATAATCTTTTCAGTCTCATTTTGACTCTGTGGTAGAAGCATCCCCCTTAATTGGAGCAGACTGTGTAAATCTTATATCCATCTGAGTTGATAATCAGAGCTCTTACGTGTCGTGTTCCTAATGTTTCTCCCAGCTCCAGGTCAGAGCAGAGGGCTCCAGAGTGCAGCTCCTCAGCAGCTGCGCAGTAACTGCAGGGTCACTGTTTTTGATGAAAATGCTGACAACACTTCTAGGGCAGAGTTACCTAAACCTATAGTCGAGCCGTGGAAGGCACCCCCCGTCCCAAGGGACAAAGAGAATGAGCTACAGCCAGGCCCGTGGAACACAGACCGACCCTTGGAATATAGGGTAAGGACTCAGGCTATTTGTCAATCTAGTGAAGATGTCAGATTTATCTGTCTTGGTTTGTTGTTGTTTGCTTTGTTTTTTTGTTTGAATTGGCCTCCATTTAGCTTAGCCTAACCTTGAACTTCTGTAATCCAGACTGGCCTTCAGCTTTCTGTGCCCCTGCCTCAGCTTTTTATGCCTTAGCATATAGTCACACACCATCCTCCCTGGCTCTATTTTAATATCACTTAACTTCTTTACTATTTAGAGATTATCTGCATAAATTGTGATAGTATAATAGAATAATCATTTTAATTCTTTCTTCATTTTTAGCCTCATGGCAATTCAGCCTCTGTAGCAGCCGTGTTTCCTTCGCTTCCCAGCTTTACTCCCTATGTGGAAGAGAGCGCTCAACAGACGGTCATGTGAGTGCCTTCAGATCGTTTGCCGTGGGAATTACTAAGGCTGGCAGAGGTGTTGTGTGATATTTTTGCTCTTTTTCCTCTTTGGGGGGTCCACCACCCAGCTCCTAAATAAATCACGCACAGAGGCTTATTCTTAGTTAGGAGTGCCCGGCCTTAGCTTGGCTTGTTTCTTGCCAGCCTTTAACTTAAATTATTATGACTACCTGTTGGCTCCAGACTTTTCCTTTTCTTACTTCTGTATATCTTACTTTTCTTCTGTGGCTGACTGGGTGACTGGCCCCCAGCATCCTTCTTTTCCTCCTTTCTCTTTCTGTTTAGCCTCTCTGCTGCCAGCCACGCCTCTCCTTGCTCCTGCCTTGCTATTGGCCATTCAGCTCTTTATTAGACCATCCAATGTTTTAGACAGGCGCAGAATCACAGCTTCACAGAGAAACAAATGCCACATAAACGAAAGTCACATACCTTAAAATAATAGGTACCGCTTATATGGTTCCAATGGCATCTTGTGGTGGGAGAGAAAACAGACAAAGCTCTGTCTCCTTTGTGTTCACTGTGTATGCACACTAGAGCCGAGCAACTGCCATGAACTTAATAATTAGGTTTATGGTTATTGATGTGACAGACCCAGCCCCTGCGGTTAAGTGAGACATGCTGCTTCATTGCTGACAATAATTATTAGAAGGGGTCTCTTCTCCTTCCTGATCCTTAACACTTTGAAAAATATTTTTTGTTTTTTAGATTTAAATTTTTTTTTTTTTTTAGTGTGTTTGCATGTTTTGCCTGGATGTGTGTGTGTTCCACATGCATGCCTGGTGTTCATAGAGGCCAGAAGAGGGCTGGATTCACTGGGACTGCAGTTACAGGCAATGTGAGCTACCATGTGGGTGCTGGGATTTCAAGCCCAGGTCCTCTGCAAGAACAAGTGCTGTTATAAGAAAAATCAGGGCAAATGACAGATAATCAGCTCAAGCTTTCGTCTGATCTTTAGGTTGTGAGTTCTAGTACTAGGTTCAAGTCTGTTTCAGTGTAAGGGTTTCCTCGTAGCTCAGATGTGAGATGGTCTCTGTGTAGACCATGCTAACTGTAAATTCATGGAGATCCACCTGTCTACCTTCTGAGTGCTGAGATTAAAGACCCACAACACCACGCCAGACTCTGCTGGCTAACTTATCCCTCACACTGTGTGATAGGTGCCGTAGGATTACAAAGCCAGTGCAGTTCTGAGCAAAAATTCTCCCTGAACCAAACATAAAACAAAGGAAGCCATTGGAACCTTTATAGAATTGATATTTAGTTTTATGCCATTCTATTTTTTATAAATTTGATTTTTTTTTTTTTTTAAAGATAGGTCTCAACTATGTACCATGAGTATCCTGAAACTTGCTATGTAGGCCAGGCTGGCCTTGAACTCACAGAGATCCTGCATCTGCCTCCCTAATGCTAGAATTCTAGGCATGTGGCTTCTGGGGTGGGGGGGGGAGCATGCTGTCCTGTACACGTGAAGGTCAGAGTACAGCTCATGTGCTAGGATTATACTCAAGCACCGTCATGCCCAGTCAAGTGACTTTTCTTAATGATTTGTGGTTGTCCTTCATAAGTTAAGAAGAGAGCTATTCTTTGCCGAAATTTCTCAAATGTAACTGTGTTAACTTTCTGTCCTTCTCAAAAACACCGGAGCCAACTAGCTTATAAAGTGAAAGGCTTTTTTTTTGGTGTGTGTGCTTTATGGTTTAAGAAGTTTCAGTGTATGGTCTTTTGAACTTGATGGCCTAAGTCACTACTAATTTTCTTAAAGGCATAGGTGGTCCTCAGGACTCACACCTCTCCACCCTAGTGTTTGGGCCAGACTCTGTCTTGATCAGTGTAAGCACACACTGCCACTGAGCTCTAGAACATAATTACTGGCGATTTTTGTGGGTTATTTCTAGTCCCGTTTTAAAATATTACTTTCTTTGTTTTTGTTTCAGAAAAGAATCACATAATGTCCCAAGGCTGTCATTGTCCATCTGGTTTGGGCAAAATACATAAGACATAACTCATTTGAGCTGGGCGGTGGTGGCTCACGCCTTTAATCCCAACACTGGGGAGGCAGAGGCAGGTGGATCTCTGAGAGTTCGAGGCCAGCCTGGTTTATAAGAGGTAGTTCCAGAACAGGCTCCAAAGCTACAGAGAAACCCTGTCTCCAAAAAAGGAAAAAAAAATTCATTTGACTTTGGGGTGATTGATAATTGTTTCGCTTTCTTAGGACACCATGTAAAATTGAACCTAGTATCAACCATGTCCTCAGCACCAGAAAGCCTGGGAAGGAGGACGGAGACCCTCTGCAGAGGGTTCAGAGTCACCAGCAAGGGCCTGAAGAGAGGAAGGAGAAGGTGATGTACTGTAAGGAAAAGGTTTATGCTGGAGTCGGGGAGTTCTCCTTCGAGGAAATCCGAGCTGAAGTGTTCCGGAAGAAACTGAAAGAGCAAAGGGAAGGTGTGTGTGTTGTTGTAAGAAGTAACTCTTTTCAAGTCTAAGAGAGATTGCCTCTATTACTTGTACCTTTGTGTGATGTACACATGCTGAGCTCCCATTGCTGCCTCCTAGAAAACAGAGTCTGTGCCCAAGAGTAAAAGAAGAAAAGGTGGTCAGAGTGAAGGGGTACCCCATTTCACCACAAAAGCAGGCAGCCATGGCCCGTGTGCATGTAGGTGCACTCCTCCTTAAGTACCTAGCCTTTCTTAGTGTTGCCTGAAATGCTCAGCCTCAATGTCTCTGGCAGTCTATTTATATTAACACATTCAGGCATCTCTCAGTCACTTATAGACTTACTTATATTATTTCTTCAAATCATCTCATTCTGAAATTAATGGAAGATTTGGAAATCGAAGGGAACAGAAAGCAGTTCCTGCTCTGGAGCTATCTCTTCAGTGTAGGTGAGGCTTTCCTGTCCAGCAGCCACTCTGAAGCTCTCAGAGGCTTAATATTAATTACAAAGGCTCGGCTGATAGCTCAGGCTTGTTGCTAACTCTACATTTAAATTAACCCATATTTCTTATCCATGTTTTACCATGTAGTTCATGCCTTGTTACCTCATTTTTTTTTTTTTTTCGAGACAGGGTTTCTCCGTAGCTTTTTGGTTCCTGTCCTGGAACTAGCTCTTGTAGACCAGGCTGGCCTCGAACTCACAGAGATCCGCCTGCCTCTGCCTCCCAAGTGCTGGGATTAAAGGCGTGTGCCACCACCGCCCGGCTGTTACCTCATTTTCTATACTTCTGCCTCCTCAGAGGTTTGCTGGCGACTTCTCAGACTCCACCCTTCCTCATGCCGTCACTCTCAGTTTGTCTTTCCCACCTAACTTCACCGTGCTCAGCTATTGGCGGGACAGATGAACTGACAATTAGGAAAGCGGAATTGAAGAACTTAGGGCACTAGCACAAGAGGATAAAATACATCTCAAATGATATATTGAAGAATGGGTCCTATGTGCCAGTGTGGGAAGGAGACATGGTTGCAAAGCAAGGGGCCAGCTGTGTGAGGCCTTTTTGTTTTTGTGACAAGGTCTCATCTCACTGTGTAGACCAGGCTGGCCTCAGCCTCTCGGGTGCTGAGATTAAAAGTGTGTCCCACTACACCAGACTGAGTGTTGCCTTTTTAAAATTAGTAACTGAAGGACTGGAGAAATGGTTCAGGAGTCCAGGGCATTAGCTGCTCTTAAGCAGACCGTGGTCTCTACCTAGCACACACACCAGACCACAGTTACCTTAACTCTGGGGATCTGACACCCTCTCTGGCCTCTGGCACCAGGTACACTAGTAGTACACAGGTATATGCAGGCAAAAACACCCTTACACATAAGTGTTAAAGAGATAAAATAAAAACAGGAACTGGGGCTTGGTATGATGGTTACTGGGTAAAGGAACTTGCACAAGCCTGGTGACCTGAGTTTGACCCCTAGGACCTCATAAAGCTGGAAAGAGGGAACCGACGCCATAGAGTCGTCTCCTGTGCAGGCACATCACACGCACAATAATAATACAAAGTTTTTAAAATAGGAACTGAGCTGGAAGGCGAAGCTTGGTACTAAGCGTGCTTGTCTGGCATGTGTGAAGACCTGGGATCAGTCAGTCTGTGGCACAGAAAACACCGCCCAAACCCCCAAAGAGCCTGTCAACAAGGACTAAATAGGGAGGAGGTACCTAGATACAGTTATTTTTCTAAGGAAAACTTCTAGTTCAGACCTCTATACCAGCGTGTGGTGGAATGCATTTTATTCTCAGCTGAATAAATCCCCGAGCTGAGCGTTAGTGCGGTTTGTGTGGATAAATTTAGTCTGCTCTCACGTTTTCAAGTCTTACATCCGCGGCTCTGGTTTCTCCCTTAGTTCATTGAAAGAACTGAAGCATCTCATTTTGTGTCTCTGTCAAGTCTGCTGTCCTACTTGCCGTCTCTGCCCATTCACCCTCTCTGGCATTCTTTCTGGAAAGACTGTATACATTTCTCAAGTGTTTGCCTGGACAGGTTTTCTTCCCAGCATTTTTCTGTCTACTGTTATCATTATGCACATGGATTCCCATGGTTTTTTAAGTTCCTTTTTATCCCCATGTTCTCCTCGAGCCATTCGCTCATCTTCCTACTTCACCAAAGAGCAAACTTATTTTTCTTTAAAAAAAAAAAAAAAAAAAAAAAACCAACAAAAACAAAACCTTCCTCATTGTTCAGGGGAGGGGAGCACATACAAGCACTCAGGACACAGGATGACATCATTTAATTGGTTCTCTACCTTAAGGTGGGTTCTGGAGAGTGAACTCAGGTTGTCAGAATTATATAATCTGGGGGTGCAAAGACTTACCACTGAGTCATCTTCCAGCCCTCTTTAATTTTTCTCCTGTGTGCATGTGCGCGGAGAGAGTGTGGGGTTTGCATTCTGACTTAGTCACTGTTCTGTTGCTGTGACACCATGACCAAGGCAGCTCTAAAAAAGAAAGCACTTTAATTTGGGCTGGTTTATGGTTTCAGAGGGTTAGTCCCTGACCATCGTGGTGGAGACATCATAGCCTGCAGGCAGACACGGTGCTGGAGCAGGGGCTGAGAGTTGTACATCCTGACTCTAGGCAGCAGGACGTGACACAGTGGGCCTGGCTTAGGCTTTTGAAATCCTACAGCCTACCGCATTGACACACTTCCTCCAGCAAGGCCACATTTCCTAATCCTTCTTAAGTAGTGCCACTCCCAGCACACATTAATACTTGTGTATGTCTCACATGTTTGCGCTTTTGTGTGGGAGACATGAGGTTGACATGGTTGGCATTGGGTGTTTCTACCATCACTTTCTGCCTCTTCATTGAGGTAGAGTGTTGATAAGCCAGAGCTCACCTATACACTGGTCTGGCAAGCCAGTCTGCTCTGGGGACACTCCTCTCCCCACCTTCCAAGTATTGGGGTTACAAGTGGGCCAGCATTTGCTTGGGTATTAGGAATCTAAACTCCAGTTCTTGTCTTGCATGGCACACTCTCTACCACTGAGCCATCCTCCCATCCCTAGACTGCCTTGAAAGGATAGTCAGTCTTCATTGCCCAGTGTTCTCTGAGACATTCCTATTTTTCTTGTCAAACAACTCTGGTCCTGGTCACCAGAAGCCTGTGTGCCAAACCCAGCGCCTGTTTTCACAGCGCCATTTGTTCTCCAGCCTCATCTTTTACTGCCTTCCTTCTGTGCTCCAAGCAAGCTGGCTTTCCTTTGAGTCTTCCTGTGTGAACAAACTTTGCCCAGGTCTTGTGACTAATCTTTCATCATTCAGGTTTTAGCTTTATCACGGCATTTTATCAAAACAATTCCTGGTCACTGGTCTTTAATAGCCATGACCTTCATACCTTCATCCACTATATACAGTTTTACACCACCCCGTTTGGTGCTGTACTGGGTACTTAGCTTGTACTACAAGCTAAGTTAGTGGGCTGTAGCTCAGTCCTGTGTGTTGCCCCCTTGCATCATCCCCCCCATTTTATTTTGGTGGTTTCTTGTTTTTGCTTGCTTATTTGTTTGAGAAATAGTCTCATGTAACTTTGACTGGCCTTGAGCTTACTGTGTATTTGAGGATTTTTGATTTTGGAGCGTGCTGCCTCTACCTCCTAAGTACTGCAGTTCCAGGGTTGTGATATGCAAGCACTCTGTCTATTAAGTATTTTCCTGCCCTGTTTTACGTATAAATACCTTTGGTGCTTTTGAGAAACTTTTGCTTTGTAGTCCAAGCTAGCTTAGAATGCTAAATGATTTTCTTATTTCTTTGTGTGTTTCTGCCATATCTGGGTGTTAGCATCATATGGCCAAGGACTTGGTATCATTGGAACCTATTTTTCATTGTACTTGTGCATGATAGGTGTTGCTTTTTTCCTGATTACATACATCAAAGAATGGATACCCCACCTCAAATTGAAGACTCGTTTCCCCTTTTCCATTGTCATCAGTGGTAATGAGGCTGTGAGCCGGAGGCAGTCTGTCCTGGAGGGATTGTTGTGAGGGGGAATGTCTCAGCTAACTTCACTGTTTGCAGCCGAACTGCTGACCAGTGCAAAGAAGAGGGAAGAAATGCAGAAACAGATTGAGGAGATGGAGAGAAAGCTAAAGGAAATCCAGACTATTCAGCAGGAAAGAGCTGGGGACCAGGTAAAAAAATGTTGCTATTTTTTTTAGTACAGAAAACTCAGGCATACCTGGCCAGAATTCTATCTTTTATCTACATGCCCAACCTAAAAAATACTTTCTTTTTTTGGTAGTTTTTTAGTTACTAGCCGGAAAGTAATTTAACAAGTGGTTTCAAATGGGATTTATGACATGTAAAATAAGTGATGTAATTCACTGACTTCTCAATTATTATTCTTATTAATTCTGATATTAACTTTATATTTTAGTCATGGTCTGTTAAAATGGGGTTAGCTTTTAAAATTCAATATATACTTGCCACTGCTCAGTTGAATATAGAGCACCAATTTGATTAGGACCCTAGATTATTGGAGTGCTTTTGTGGTACTGGCATCTGATGTGGTTGGCAGATGTCTAGAAGAAGGTGATAAAGAAATGTTAGCACTAGAGTATATAAATAGCATTTTCTGAATGAGAGGGACATTGGTTTTATTTATGTTAATGTAAACAGCAAGAAGAGAAGGTGCCCACAGAGGAGGCGGCCAGACTGCAGATTGCTTCACGGCCTCAGGAAATGCTGGGAGTGTCTCTGTCCCGCTCTGTCTGCCCACCTAGCTCTCAATCCAGGTAAGACCACTTTGGTGGAAGGCATGGTGCTCACAGCCCATAGGACACACTGTGGGCTCTGGTGACTTGAAGGCTCCTCCATTTCTTGACAGTACTGAGACATAAGTTTTACAAATTTTAGCCTAAGGTTTTGTGCTAATGAAAGAATATATGGTACTGTCTGTTCCTTGGTGAAAATAAAAATCAATGTGTCTAGAGCCTGTTCATGCACAGTGGTACATCCTGTAACCCTATGTAGACGAAGACAGCGGGTCAGGAATTCAAGGCTAGTAGCCTTTGAGATTGGCCTGGGATCCATAAGACCCTGTCCCCCCACAAAGAATAAAAGTGGTCATACTCAGGCGGCTAAGGCAGAGTGACTCAATCGTCAAAGCCAGTGTAGCCTTCATAGTCAGACCTTATCTCAGGAAAACAAAAGGTGGAGTGGAGAACTATACTTTACATACTTAAAGTACATTGCATACTTGTGTGAAGTGCCCTATGAACCTGGTGCTGTGTACATTGAATTTATACAGTCAGATCAAAACCCGAAAACTTGACACACATGATAACTGCTGTTCACACTCGTGTGTCTTTGTGTTACAACCGTCCATCTAACTGTAGTTAGTTAAGGCTACCTCCGACAGGGTGGGGTCTGTCTCTAAACAGAAGGCTCTTCCTGTGGGTAGTAAGCACATTTTCTTTTTTTAAACAAATTTCTTCACAGGGAAACCTCACCAGCTAAAAGCATTTTGCAAGAACAGCCTGACTGTACAGGTAAGCTGTATTTGACACATTGGGAGGGACACTGGCAATAAATGCACTATGTAACAGTAAATGCTTTTCTTTCTTTCTTTCTTTCTTTCTTTCTTTCTTTCTTTCTTTCTTTCTTTCTTCCTTTCTTTCTTCCTTTCTTTCTCTTTTTTGTTTTTGTTTTTTTTTTCGAGATAGGGTTTCTCTGTAGCTTTGGAGCCTGTCCTGGAACTAGCTCTTGTAGACCAGGCTGGCCTTGGTCACGAAAATCTGCCTGCCTCTGCCTCCTGAGTGCTGGGATTAAAAGCGTGCGCCACCACCTTAATTATAGTAAAAGAGGGCAGAGTGTGCATAGAATCTTGTTTGGTCTTTAAATAATGGAACTCATTATAAGCATATATAATTCATTATATGTGATTTGAGAGAATATTTTCATAAGATTTCTCACTACTTTGAAATTCTTAGTTTAGGGACAGCAGAATGACAGGCACTTGCTGCCCAACAACCTGAGTTTGTTCTTCAGAACCCACTGACCCTCATGTAGCAGCAGGTCTTTGAGTGTCAGCTCCCGAGTAATGACACGGAGACTTCTTATCAATTTTGAAAGCTTGGTCCTAACTTAGGCTTTTCCCCAACTAGCTCTTAAAACTTAAATATCCTGTTTATATTAATCTATGTTCTGTCATGTGGCTCGTTACTTCTGATACCGTATGTCTGACTTCATCTTGCATCTGAATGGCAGACCTCCTGCCTCAGATTCTTTTCCAGAGGTCCTTTCTCTTGTCTGGAAGTCCTGCCTAGCTATCTACTGTTAAACTCTATTAAACCAATCAGAAGGTGCCTTAGGCAGGTGAGGTGAAACACATGTCTTCACAGTGTAGAAGATTATCCCAACCCCTTCACACGGTCATGAAGACACACACATGACTGCACAGAGAGACTGATGCACATGCAAAATAAATAATTATTTTTCAAGTCTCCACTTTCATACTATGCACTTAGGCAAGTGTTAGCAGGACCAGCAACCAGCCCTGTGTGAGAAGGAGCTCCTAAAGAGGGCTAGGTCTTGAACATTCAGATTGGCTCTTTGTATGTATGTATGTATTATTTATTTATTTATTGTGAATGCTGTGTTCTGCCTGCATGTATGACTGCGGGCCAGAAGATGGTACCAAATCTCATTATAGATGCTTGTGGGCCACCATGTGGTTGCTGGGAATTGAGCTCGGGACTTTTGGAAAGTCAAGTAGTGCTCTTAACGTCTGCGCCATCTCTCCAGCCCCAGACTGGTTTTTTGTTTTGTTTTGTTTTGTTTTGTTTTTGATACAGGGCTTCTCTGTGTAGAATTTGCCCTGTAGACCATGCTAGTCTCAAACTCACAGAGATCCACCTGCCACTGCCTCCAGGTGCTGAGATTAAGGGTGTGTGCCACCACCAACTAGCTTTTTTTTTTTTTAAACACACTTTATTAATTTTTTTAAAATGTGCATTCATTATTTTGTATGCATGTATGAGAATGTCTGAACTGGAGTTACAGAGAGTTGCGAGTTACCATGTGGGTGCTAGGAACTGAATCTGGCTTAGCTGGGCTCCTTTGGAAGAACAGCCAGTGCTCTTAACCACTGAGCCTTCTCTCCAGCTACAGATTGGTTTCTTTTCTCCTTAAAATATGTTAAAAATATTAGGCTTCCCATCTGTTAAGCTGCGTTGAAAAAGATTATACATTTTCCCTCTCAGTTTCTTTTCGCATGATTGTTATATAAAACCTATCCAAAAAAATGTAAGCTATAAAAAATATAAGTAACAAATGACGTCAGAACCAGTAAAGGCCCTTGCCACCAAGTACAGTGACTTGAGAGCCACATGGTAGAAGGAGAGAACTGACATCCACGAGTTTTTCTCTGACCGCCACATGCTTGCTCACACATATGTAAATATTAAACACAAGAATGTTTTAAGTGGTAAAAACATGAATATTGCTAGGCGGTGGTGGGCACGCCTTTAATCCCAGCACTCGGGAGGCAGAGGCAGGCAGATCTCTGTGAGTTCGAGACCAGCCTGGTCTACAAGAGCTAGTTCCAGGACAGGCTCCAAAAACTACAGAGAAACCCTTGTCTCAAAATTAAGAAAGAAAGAAAGAAAGAAAGAAAGAAAGAAAGAAAGAAAGAAAGAAAGAAAGAAAAGATTTAAGGTTTTTTTCCCCCATATTTATCTATTTGTGTATGTGTGTGCATGCGTGTCCTACACATATGCAGAGGTCAGGACAGCTGTCAGGAGTCGAGTCCTCTGTCAGGTCAGTTCCAGGGATCAGCTGTGCTGGCAAGATCCTCTCATCTGAGCAGATCACCAGGTCCAGAGGGAAAGCTTTAGAGACGGGATTATTGACAACATACAGATCTCATTATGCATTTCCAATTCAAACACATTTAAAAAACATTGTAAACGAATACTAAAATATAGAACTGACTGTTCAGAAATTATTAGTTTTATAGATATTATTCCTTAGTTAATAAAAAGAACCTTTTAAAAGGCTTACAAAGACATTGAAATATTTACAGATGAAATGAAGTGTTCTGGATCTTTAGGGCCATCTTTAGGAAGTAGTAGCATTCCTGGGAACATAGATGAAGTACAGTCATGCATGTTTAGGTGATTATTATGAAATGGTATCTATTTTTATATGTCCTAACTTTTTTATTATAAAAACAAATCAGAGGCTAGGAAGATGCCTTAGTGGTTAGGAGTGCGTGCTGCTTGCAGAGGACCCAGGTTGGGTTCCCAGCACAGGCTATGCAGCTCCAGGCTGGGATGCCCCTTTCTGTCCTCTTCAGATGTGTGTACTCACTGATGTGCATGAACTGTACCCACACACAAGACATGTACATTCATACAGAATTACTGTCTTTTTCAATCATGCTTTTTCTTTTGAACAACACAGCATTAATTCATTTCTATAGTTTTCTTGAAGAATCAAACACTCCCAAAACCCGTTTCTCTTTCTATAGGTCCCAGCATGCCTTTCTCCATTTTTGATGAGTTTCTTTCAGATGGAAAGGACAAAAGGTTTGATTTTGTTGTTTATTTTGGGGGAGGGGAGCTAGGAATAGATCTTCCTATGTAAGTACATTTTTCACTTAAAATTTTAGATATTTGAAAGTTAAAATAAAGATATTTTTATTTGGGTGTTTTGCCTGCATGTGTCTCCACACAAGCCCACGATATCCAGTAAAGGGTGTGGGTCGGTACTATCAGGCGAGCCCCGGCCGTCTGTAGGAGCATCAGTTCTCTTAACCACCGAGTCACTTCTCTGGATCTTTATCTTAAATTCTTTTTTTTTTTTTTTTTTTCTCGAGACAGGGTTTCTCTGTAGAACTTCATGGAACTCATTCTGTAGACCAGGCTGGCCTCAAACTCACAGAGATCCACCTGTCTCCAAAGTGCTAGGATTAAAGGCGTGTGCCACCACCACCAGATTTATTTTAAATTCTTTGAAAAATTTTGTAAATCTTTTTATATAAAAACTTTTGTAAATTGAGTATATTTTTCTACCATTGGTTCTCTGGGATGGAGCTCAAGTTAGCGGGCGTGGACGACAAAGCATGGTTACCTACTGGGCCATGCTGTCCCAGTGTTTTAGTCTGTGAGTGAGAGTAGCCGGACCCTGGTGTACGCAGGGACTGGGAAGAATGAGCTGAGATAGGATGTTCAGGACCAAACTGGACTACGTTATACAACCTTATCTCAAACAACAACGGCTTGAATCAGAGTTGCTGTTATTTTCAATTTTCATACAGATACAGAGAGTGCTAACTGGAATGTGTCTTCTCCCAGTCCTGCTGCAGATTTTCCACAGGCTCCCAAAGCCCAGCGAAGACCCCTTGCAGTTCTCAAGACTACAGAAATCATCGCATCAAATGAGGATGTATCTGCTGGTGTTTGTGTAAGTTCACATCAGTGGACTTAGTGAATTCTTTCACTAAGTTAAGTTAAGATCTCTCAGTTAAGCATTTGGCTGGTTAGATGGCTCAGCAGATAATGGCACTTCCTGCTGAGCCTGACAACCTGATACTGACTCCTGGGTCTCAGGTGGTAAAAGGAGAACATTGACTTCCATAGGTTGTCTCTCTGACCCCGGCTTCCCCTACCCCCAATAAAATTTAGGTATTTAAGTTTAAAAGAAAAGTTTAGGATTAAGTGCTGAACAAGTGTTAATCTTAGTGGGCTGTGGAAGTAGAGGAGAATCTAGTTCAGAGTCAGCCTAGGCTATGTACTGAGTTTGAGCCCAGCTTGAGTGCGTGACTAGATGTTGTTCAAAAAGTTTAGGGTTAAAATTAAAATCGCTTTTGAACTAAGCCATGGAAAGATTTTCAGAATGTTGTCACCAGGAAAAGAGTGGACCCGCAGTGAGATATTACATTGTATGCACTGGAGTTTCTGTAATCAAGAGGGGGTAATAATGAGTGTTGGAGGGCAAGGATGTAGAAATATTAGAACCTGGAACAGTCATTTTGGAAGAATTGTTGGTCATTCCTTAAAATGTTAATCCTAGGGGCAATTAAGGCCACATGCTCTTGTAGAGGCCTTGGGTGTGATTCCCAGCACCCACCTGGCAGGTCACAACTGACTATAACGCCAGTGATCAACGCCCATTTGTGGCTCCCATGGGTACCACACATACATGGTGTGCTAACATACAAACAGGCAGAACACTCATGTGCATAAAATAAAAACTTTTTAAATTAAAAAGTAGTTACTAACCAGGTGGTGGTGGCACATGCCAGATCTCCATGAGTTTGAGGCCAGCCTGGTCTACAAAGCGAGTTCTAGGACAGCCATGGCTACACAGAGGAACCCTTTCCTGAAAAGCCAAAAATAAAAAAGAAAAGAAAAGAAAAAATAGAAGTAAATAAAGGAACTTATGTTCTATTTGCATGAAGTGTCCAGGATAAAGCAGAGTGGATGGGATTAATGGAGAGGGTAATGGGAAGGGGCTGCAGGTACTGCGGATTCTTCCTGAGGGGTGAAGTGCTCATAAAATAACACAGCAGAGCACTGAGGCAAACACGGGAGTGATGGATTAGATCCCAGAGTTGTAAAAGGTCAGGTGAGTCACTAATTTGACAGCCTTCTCCACTTCCAATGTAAAATGCCTTTTGTGGCGATGGAAACATGTAGACCAACAATTTTTCCTTCCTGTTCTGGTTTTCTTTACATTTAGTTTTTTGTGTTTATGTGTGAGTGCTTGCATGTGCGTGTAGTGGTCAGGTTACCTCTTTACTCCATATAACTTCATGTAGCTGTCATCAGGCCTGGCTGTAGGTGTCTTTACTCACTCTCATGGCTCCTGGCTATTCTGTTAACTACTGTCGCATAGTCCTAACACCCAGGGGTAAGAATGTGCTGTATAGACGTTCAAGTCAAACTAAAACAAAAAACAAGCATGGGCCTTGGCATTGACATTTTGTTGAAACTTTAGGGAAGGACAAAAGATGCTTCTCAGCAGACTAGCACCCAGGCACTTGAGGAAGGCTGGCGTGTTTGAGGATTGTTCTGGGGACATGATGAGTGGCTTCAGTGACAGTGCTTCCTCCACATCCAAGGAAATGCGCAAAGTCATTGGGAGACATTTTTTAAAATAAACTTTTCTTTTTATTTACTTTCTTGGTATATTTTATGTCTAGTAAAGTACACAGGACTGTATGGCTAGGTAGATTTTCACATATGAATATTTTATATCCAAAATACAGAAATTTCCAATGACTCAGAAGTGCCATGGGAGACTTTGATGACTGAAGGAAGATACTCAGGTCCCGTTCCAGTTTTATGCGATTTAAATGTCTGGAGAAGGAATCTAAGCATTATTTTTCCTCTTGTTTTAAATCATTTGGGAAAGTTCCTGTGATTCTGATGCCGTTAGTCCCTGGCTGCTGTGAAAGCACAGTGACTGAAAACAGTAGGGTGCCTGGATAGTAAAGGGGCCTCATCATTCAGATCCTCTCTCTCTCTCTCCCCTTTCTTCTCTCTCTCTTCCCCTCTCTTCCCCTCTCTTTCCCCCTTTCCCTTTGCAGTCTCTTTCTTGGATTTTGTTAAGAAGTATCTACCTGAATTTTTTAGCTCCCCTTCCAGTCATATTCAAAATGTCTAAACTAATAGATTGAGGCATAATAGTGATTTCTTTTACTTTAAATTTTGTTTTATTGTGTTTTTGTTTTTTCTAGACAGGGTTTCTCTGTGTAACTCTGACTGTCCTGGTACTTGTTCTGTAGACCAGGCTGGCTGCCCACTTTAAATGTTTTATTATAAATTTCCTTTGCTTTTTGAGGGAGCCCTGGCTTGGAGCTCTCTGTGTGGACTAGGCTATTGTAAATCTCTGCACTGTCTCTCTGAGGTATACCTCTACTTCTGCTTCCTTAATTTTGAGTCAAAATGTGTCAGATATGTCAAATTGTAGGTAATCTAGAAAATTAATATCTAGTATCTATGAGGGTTAACTGAAGTGGGCATTTCCTATATTGTAGGTAAATATATAAAGTAGTTTAATCTTTCAGGGCAACTAAGCAATACATGTTAAAAAAATAAAAGCCTTAGTTTTTTTTTTTTTTTTGGTTTTTCGAGACAGGGTTTCTCTGTGGCTTTCGAGCCTGTTCTGGAACTAGCTCTATAGACCAGGCTGGCCTCGAACTCACAGAGATCCGCCTGCCTCTGCCTCCCGAGTGCTGGGATTAAAGGCATGCGCCACCATCGCCCAGCTAAGCCTTAGTGTTTTTAGCCTTACAACTAGCTAATTATTTTAGGGATATTTATCCTAGGAACATTTAGATGTTTATAAAAATTTGTGTATATTTTAAAATAGTTTTGAGTAATGAAAAATAGGGAATAATCTGGAAGACCTGACTAAGCTGTCTTGTATTTTCCTTGTAGTCCTCAAGTTTCGAGCCCCATGAATATTGTATGACTGTCACTGAGTTATAACCCTGCCCCTTAACTCATTTCTAATAAATAGACATTTGGGGGCCAGCAAGATGGCTTGGTGAGCTTTGCTGCCAATCTGAAACCTGAGTTCCATATGGTAGAAGGAAAAAATGGCTTACACAATTGTCCTTTGATCTCCACATGCATGCCATGGCTCACATGCATGCACACATGTGCAAATTGGTTAATTAAAAATGCAACCTGTATTGTGACCATCCCAGTTTTTAAAGAATTGATTTTTTTTTTTAAATTTGTTTTTTTCAAAGCAGGATCTCACTATGTAGCTCTAGCCATCCTGGAATTCACTATGTAGAGCAGGCTGGCCTTGAACTCAGAGATCTGCTTGCCTCTGGCTCCTGAGTGCTGAGATTAAAAGTGTACACTACCATATCTGGCATTTAAAGAAATTAAAAAAAAAAGAGTATTTTTATCTGTGTATCTGTGTGCGGTTCTGTAAATGCATGCCGTGTGTGTAGTAGGCACCTGTGGAGGAGCCCTTGCAGCTGGTGCCATGTGTGTGTAGTAGGCACCTGTGGAGGAGCCATTGGAGCTCAGCTGCCCACCGAGGTGGTAGGAACTGAACCTGGGTCCTCTGGAAAGGCAGCAGGTATTCTCTGAGCCGTCTCGCTAAGCCCACAGATACTTTTTTTAAGTGAGAAAAGTGGTATCAGTGCTTCAGCTTTGAGGTAGAATTGTTTGGGAGAGGACACGAAGCAATCTTTCCATGTGTGGAGAGCCCTCACAGTATATTTTCTGATGAAGTACAAAATCACCTTCCTCAGTGTTGTACTATGCTTTTTAAATTGTCTTCAGCTAGACGACTTGCTATGTTTATTTCTAAATCTCATGTCAGTGATCTGATGTCTGTGTCTGTCTGTGTGTGTGTGCGCGCGTGCCATTCACGTGTTTATTGAACTAGCTCAGCTAAGCTGTGTTTGTTCCGTTTTTACTTTAGGATGAACTTACAGGAATTGAACCTTTGAGTGAAGATGCCACCATCACCAGTTTCAGGAATGTAACCATGTGTCCCATCCCCGAGGACACTTGTTACTTTGCTAGAGCGCCTCGTTTTGCATCTACTCCTTTCCATGAGATGCCGTCCTTGAAGGGCATCCCTTCCGACCCTGAGAGACTGTCCCAGGAGGAGGATCTGGATGGGAAGACCACGGAAGTCCATCACACTGCAATGGCCACTATTTATAGCCAGACCCTCAGTGTCAAGAAGCTGAGGTGATTGGAGTGTTTGCTCTCTTGGTCCGTGAGCTTATCAGTTATAGTGAGCAGGCGTCAGGCTCTTACTGTCTGCCAGATGCTGAACAAGACAGTCTGTCTCTCTCTGGTGTAATGTCAGTGTAATGACATTGGATTTGAGGATAAGAAGTAAATTTGACGGTAATGAGACTCAAAGATACAGAAGGAGAGTTGGTTTTTGTAGAGGACCCGGGTTTGATTCCCAACACACACATGGTAACTCACAGCTGTCATAACTCCAGTTCTGCGGTGTTCATTTTCTTCTTACATCTACAGGTACCAGGCTTACGCATTGTGTACAACATGTGAGCAGAACACTCATGTACATACAATAAATAAATAAAATTTTTTTTATCCATTTCTGATTTGGGAAAATGATGTGCTTTAAAAAGTGACACTAATAAAAATTATAGCAACTATAAATTATTTTAAAATAAATTTTATTACAAAATGAACTCAATGTAATATTTATAAATTAAAAATATATGAAGCTGTTCTTGCAGAGGTCCCAGGTTCAGTTCCCAATACTCAGAGCTCACAACCCTCTGTAACTCCAGTCCTAGGGGATCTGACATCCCCTTCCGCAGTCTCGGCTCTCACACTGGTGCGCTGCATACATGCAGGCAAAACACTCAGAAAAGTAAATGAATATTACAAAAATTTAAAAAGTTCTAACATAGTTGGTATATACTATGCCTGAGGACAGCTCCACTTTTGTTTCTTGCAGCCCAATTATTGAAGACAGTGGTGAAGCCACACACTCATCTGCCTTCTCTGGATCCTCTGCTTCCGTGTCGAGTACCTCCTCCATCAAGGGCCTTCAGCTCCCCGAGAAGCTGGAGCTAACTGCTGAAGCTGCAGGTAGATCCGCCCAGCCTGTGGGCAGGCTCCTTACGCTGCCTGGGGAATGTTCAGAAAAGCTAGCAGTAGCTCAGCGTAATTTATAAGTACGTAAGGCAAATGAGTGTGGGCAGATTAGCAGTGCTGATTTTGCAATCTTGTTGGAGTCTTTCCCCTCTAGTCTCTTTTTGTTTGTTTTTCTGAGACGTGGCTTTTCTGTGTGGCCCTGGAGCTCACTCTGAAGACCAATCTGGCCTCGATCTCAGAGACCCACTGGCCTCTGCCATTTGAGTGCTGGGATTAAAGACCTGCTCCACCATTGCCTAGGTGGGGATTGAGACAGGGTTTCTTTGTGAGGCCTTGGGTGTCCTGGAATGCCCTCTGTAGACCAAGTTGGCCTCAAATTCATAGAGATCTGTCTACTTCTGCCTCTGAGTGCTGGAATTAAAGGCATGTGCCACCACTACTGGGTTTTGTTTTGTCTGTTTGTTTGGGGGGCGGGGGTTGGGGCAGGGTTTCTCTGTGTGACCCTGGCTATGCTGGTACTTGCTCTATGTTCCCGTGGCTCTTAACATTCCTAATGCTTTAGGAAGACCCTTTAATACAGTTCCTCATGTGGTAGTGACCCCCACAACCATAAATTTATTAGTTATTTTGTAACTACAATTTTTGCTACTATTATGAATCATAATGTACATATCTGATGTGAGTCCCCTGTAGGTTGAGAACTGCTGTAGACCAGGCTGGCCTTGAACTCACAGAGATCCGCCTGCCTACTGCTCCCAAGTGCTGGGATTAAAGGCATGTGCCAGAGTTTTGATTTTCCTTCTACCCCATGCCAACTATTTGTTCATGATTTTCCTTTTCTTCTCGCTTTCATTTAGGACCCATCCAGTCCTAAACGTTAATTTATATTTGATGCTTATTTTCTCCACAGAAAATGCTGTTCAGTCGCCCTGGTGTTCACAATACCGACTCCAACTACTAAAATCTCTACCAGAGTCAAGTGCTTTTGCAGAGTTTTCTGTGGAAGACAGACCAATGCCTACCCTGGAAGTAGGGAAGGAAATTGAGTTAGGTAAGTACTGTTGAATACCTGTCCTTTTGCTTATGATAGCATACAAATAAGTGATTTGAACACTGAGCTCATGAACACTGTGAACATGCCTAGGTTGTAATAAATCACATTATAGAGGTTAACACATTGGTAATTTTATGCCATAGTAACAATGGCACTTTTATTTGCCTCCTTTTATTTAATACTTTTTAAGATTTATTTGATTTTTATGAGCCTGCATGTTTGTGATGCCTGTTGGATCTCCATATGATTGTGAGCTGCCATGTGGGTGCTGGGGATCAAACCCAGGTCCTCTGTAGGAACTAGCGCTCTTAGCTGAGCCACCCATATGTCCAGCCCTCCTTTTGATTTGAAACAAATGATTTTGAAAAGCATTCCAGAAGCTACTTCCTGGCAAATACACTAGTACCTCTCCCCCTTCGCTGGGAGATAGTGTTAGGACCTCCATATGCTCACAGTGATGTCACATGGAATCAAATCTTCTCCACAGGTAGTGAAGACTACTGCATTAAACAAGAGTACCTGATCTGTGACGATTACAAGTTACTCTGGGTGGCACCAAGAGACTCGGCCGAGTTAACCATGATAAAGGTGAGACTGACTCTTAATTTTATTACCTGGTACTGTCACACCTGTCTACTTGTTACTTTACTGGGAAATCGGCGAGCCATCAACAAAATCAGTCACCATTCTATGTCACGATCAGAGATCATAAATCAGAGATCAGAAATGAGGGACTATTGTGTAAAGATTGTCCTGTACCCAAGCCTTCTGAGTATTCTGTCCACTTTGTCTTTCTGGGGAGATATCAGACACCCAGATACCTACCTAATTCTCTCCATTTCTTTTTTTCTTTGGTTTTTGGGTTTTTTGTTTTGTTTTTTTTGTTTTTGTTTTTTTGAGACAGGGTTTCTTTGTAGCTTTGGTTCCTGTCCCGGAACTAGCTCTTGTAGACCAGGCTGGCCTCGAATTCACAGAGATCCGCCTGCCTCTGCCTGCTGAGTGCTGGGATTAAAGATGTGCACCTCCACCCTTTGCTCTTGCAACTCCCCCTCCCCGAAATAAAATAAAATTAAAAGAAAAACAAAAATAAAAACAAAGTCTTGGCCCTGAAGCTGTATTGTGACACACGAGTCATCCAGTGTTCTCTTTAGTCCATACATCTTCATGTGTCAGTGTTGATTGCAGTGAGTCATTGGTCTGGTTCAAGGCTGCTGCTTCTGCTACACCCTTGGTACTGGGCCCTCTATGGGACTTCTTGTCTATACTGTTGTTGCCTTGTGTCATGGAGATCCTGTAGCTTTGGATCTGCAGGTCTGGCCAGCTGTCTTATTAATTCCAGTAACTTTGTGTGAAATCTCTCCCTATCTCTAGATCCTGTAGTCTTGTTTGTTGCCAGCACATAGTGGTTACACACTTATTGCCTGTGTGCTGGGCAGATAGAAAAGTCAGTGGACATTTATTCTTTCAGTCTTAACATTTTCTTTGAAAAAAATTATTTCAATTTTCTGCTTTCTCAATTTGTAATTTCTCATATTAGGTTGTAGGTTTTTCCTGGACAATTATTTATTTGTTTAGCATTTATTTGTATGTGTGTGTGTTTGTGTGCGTAGGTGTGTAGGTATAGATGTGTAGGTGTAGATCCAAGGACGAGTTTTAGGCCTGTGTTCTCTCTTTATTATATGGTTCTGGACTTGATGAAAAGAAAAAAACCAAAACACCTTTACTCACTGAGCCATGTCACCAACCCTTATTTCCTCTTCTCTTCCTTCCCTCATCTATGGGACTGGAGAGATGGCTCAGAGCACTTACTGCTGTTAGAGAGGGCCTGAGTTTGATTCTCAGCACCCACACTGGACAACTCACAACCACCTGGGACTCCAGCTCTGGGGTCTACGATGCTCTTCTGAGGGTGTGCACCACACGCAGGCACATAGAATTAAAGTGAAATGTTTTTATCCCTCTAGCTTCTCCTTTGTCCTGCTTTCTGTAGTGCAATCATGTCTCAGTTGTAGCACAAATAATAAAAACTCAGAGACAGATATTGGGGTTCAACCTAAAAATTAGAAAAGCAAAGCAGCCAGTCACTAGAAAAGTCTTAGCTCTACCATGGCTGGGTGACCTCAGACTAAGCAGCCAGAGCCTCCCTCTCCTCCCTCTAGTGTTGGGATTAAAGGTGTGAGCCACCACCATCTGGATTTGTTACTGCATCGATCTTGTGTTGCTCGCCTTGTCTCTGTCTCTGCCTCTGTCTCTCAAATCCTGGTATTAAAGGTGTGTGATGTTACTGCCTGGCCTCTAGTGGCTTAGCTTTGCCCTTCTGATATTATTCACACTTTATTTATGAAAACATAAATAAACTATACTCGGTAGCTGCAGAGGATTGATTCTAAGACACCTCCCTCCCATTTGAGATACCCAAACCTGAGGATATTCAAGTCCTTTCTATAGACTGACATAGTATTTGCTAATAACCTACATATACACTACAGTATGCTTTAAGTCATCACTGGGCCACTTACAATACTAACATAATGTCCATATTTATTGTGTGTTGTTCCCACCACCCCTCAAGTCGTGTCCATCCATGGTTGGTTGAATCTGCAATGTACAATCTATAGATTCAGAAGATGATTTTATCAACTGTAATTTCAGTCTCTATAGGTTTTACATTTCTTTCAAAGGGGCTTTTTATTTTTTTTTATTTTTATTTTTTGTTGTTGCTGTTGTTTATTCTCAAGGCAGGGTTTCTCTGTGTCCGGCTGTTCTAGAACTCACTCTGTAGAACATCCACCAGCTTCTGCGTCCAAAATGCTGGGATTAAAGGCATGAGTAGTCACTACCGCCCAGCTAATTTTTTTTCTTTTTTCTTTTGTTTTTGTTTTGTTTTGGTTTTGGAGATAGGTTTCTCCATGTAACACTGACCAGGAGAGGCCAGTTCCTAGGTTCTGCTCCAGGGTAATAAAAAGAAAAACCTCACCGGGCGTTGGTGGCGCACACCTTTAATCCCAGCACTCTGGAGGCAGAGGCAGGCGGATCTCTGTGAGTTCGAGGCCAGCCTGGTCTACAAGAGCTAGGTCCAGGACAGGAACCAAAAGCTACGGAGAAACCCTGTCTCGAAAAATTCAAAAAACAAAAAACAAAACAAAACAAAAAAACAATAAAAAGAAAAACCTCAGAGTAGCGGGACTAGGAAAAATTTTTTTCTGATGGTAGCTAGACCCTTACTATCTGAGGGTTAAATAGACCTCTTTACTTCAGCTTAAATAGTATGTTTATCTTGACAATCTGTCTTACATACATCTCTCTCCTGCTCAGTTACATATTTCAGTTACATCTCTTTCTCACATGACTACATGTCTTTCTTTTACATGCATTTTTCCTCCCCATCTCTTTCTTCTATCCAGCCTCATTGTCCTTGCCTCCACAGTTACAAGTCTGCACACAGCCACAGCTACATCTCGTTTACACGTCCCCTCAGCACACAGCACTTCAGACAGTTCTAAGTGCAGCCCCTCTCTGCAGCGGATCCCACACACGCTCTCTCTCACTCACACACGCACACTTCTTCATCACTCTCACTCTCACACACGCACACTTCTTCATCACTCTCACTCTCACACACGCACGCTTCTTCATCACTCACACTCACACACGCACACTTCTTCATCACTCACACTCATGCACACTTCTTCATCACTCACACTCACACACGCACACTTCTTCATCACTCACACTCACACACGCACACTCCCGTAGCAGTCCTTCATTCACCACTCTCCCTCTCTCATGCTGCGTCTTCATCTCTCACACTTCTCTTTCCCACAGCAGCCTTCTCTCAACACCTCCACTCTCTGTCTCTGTCTCCACTCGTTGCTCTCTGCTCTCCCACACACAGACTCTGGACAAGTTACATTTTTAGAGCCCGACCCCTTCTCAAAACCCAAGATAAATCACATAGTGTCTTTCAGACTAGGAATGTCACAGTGACCGGCCAGTGAGCAACCATGCTCTTGCACGTGGCTCCTGGTGAGGGTTCCCAGACAGTAAACAGTTGGCTGGACCTTGAGGTCACAGAGTACACACAGACTAAAGTTCCTTCAAACTCTGACCTTGAATTAGTAAAGCAACAACACCTGGGGAAAAATGACCTCACGTATTTGTCTCTAGGAGCAACCAGCCTGTTTTGAATCTGCTCTGAAGTCTAAAGCAGCTGTCTATGTAAGAGAGGCTGTCTTTGTGACTGAGAATCCTGTGTCCGTCTGAGTAATGTAAGATAGCCTAGTATTTCTGTTCATCGGGATTCTACAGAGAGCAGGAATCATCTTTCTGACCATCCACAGTTATCTGTGTGCCCAGTAGATGGACATTTTCACAAGATAAACACACAATTGGAATACGCTGAAAGCTGTTCTTAGGAAAAAAATGAAGGTTTTAGGGAAGAAACGAAGTGACTCATGAGCAAAATTACGAACAGGAGCAACTGCTTTCCACACCAGTGATCCCACGGCCTTTCCAGGTGGGGTTCCCCACCAGGGAACCATGTGTCTGATGGGTTGCCCACCTGCTGTATACTCCATGGCAGCTCTCGGCATCTGTGCAATAATAGTCGTAGCTGTCCTGGAGCTCATTCTGTAGACCAGGCTGGCCTCAGTAAGATAAAGGTGCTTGCCACCGAGGCTGACAACCTGAAGTTCAATCCCTGCAGCTGACATGGAAGAACACTGCCAACTCCCATAGTTGTTTGTCACTTTCTCACCCATGCAATGACACGCACACAAACACATAAACACACACAAAATGAAGTGCTTTTTTAAAGGAGGGAGGAAAAAAACAATTTTTCTGTTTTCTTTTTATCTATTTAAAATTGTCTTCATGTTAGCAATGTGGAGTGTTTTGCTCTCACTGGAGTTAGGTGTGTAACACTAAAATCTAGTTGGAAGCTGTGTGTATATAGAGAGACCCCGACAGTGTGGACGGCACTGTAGATGGTGTAGTTTTGGCAGTTTATTGGAAACCCACAAACTGCTACAGGGATTAAGGATGGAAGAAATGTGGAGAATTTATTGCCTTTGTTTGTTTTAGTCAGGGTCTCATTCTGAAGCTCTGGCTGGTCTGGAATTCAGTACGTAGACCAGGCTAGCCTAAATTTGTGTTAGTTCTCCTGCCTCTGCCTCCTACATTCTATAGTTTTTGTTGTTATTGTGTTTTGGGTTGGTTGGCTGGTTTTAGGTAGCACACAAAGTAATGGGTTCTTTACACGTAGATGTGTCTGTGTGTAAATAATTGTACTTTACTCACGCTTCTCCCCTCCTGCTTTCGTGCGTGCACAGTTAAATAGAAAACACAGGCATTGTCTTTCTGGGTTTCCTTCTCTACTTTCTTACAAATAGTATGATAGGAGGCAGAGGTAGGTGGAGCTTCATGAGTTCAAGGCTGACCTGGTCTATAGGAGAGTTCTAGGCCAGGCAGGGCTACGTAGAGAGACCATGTCTTCAGTCTCTCAGCTGAATTCTCTCACCACATATTCTAATTGCCTTTACTTGTGAAATATTATATCTTACAGGCATCTTTCCAACCTGTCCCATGGGATTTCTATATCAACCTCAAGTTAAGGGAGCGTCTGAATGAGGACTGTGACCCGCTCTGCAGCTGTTGCCAGTACCAAGATGGCCATATCGTTTGGTACCAGTATATCAATTGTTCTACCCTTCAGGTTGGTGATAATGCTCAGAACACACAACTTAGAATGAAAAGAAGAAATTCGCACTACATCTGCGAAAGATGTTTAATGCAGGGCTGGTGAGGTGGCTCAGCAGGGGCACTTGGTGCCAGGTCTGATGACCTGAGTTTGATTCCCCCAGGCCCGAACTGTAACAGGAGAGAATTGAGTCCTGTACATAGTCTCTGGTTTCCACTCACATCATGGCATGTGCACACACACAATTGTAATTAAAGTTTTAAGATATTTAATACAAAATTTCTTTCAGTCATCTAGAAACAGGCCAGTTTTTAATTTTTATTTATTTAACATTTATTGTGTGTGTGCGCGCACCATGGTATACATGTAGAGGTTCGAGGATAATTCTCCTTAGGTTCCAGGGATCAGACTTAAGTGTTTAGACCTGGCTGGCCTCGAACCCAGGAGTCTCTGCCTCAGGCTTCCAGATGCACCAAACACGTTCAATTCAAACTGAGACGTTTTAGTGACTCCTTCTTTTCTCAGGTGATTCTTCGTTGGCTGGTTGGGGTTCTTTTGTTTGTTTTTTGGCTTTTCAAGACAGGGTTTCTCTGTGTAACAGCCTTGTCTGTCCTAGCACTCACTTTGTAGACCAGACTGGTCTCAAACTCAGAGATCCAATTGCCTCTCCCTCCCAAGTGCTGGGATTAAAGGTGTGCACCACCATGCTTGGCTTTTTTTTTTTTTAAACATTTTTATTTATTATGTATATAATATTCTGTCTGTGTGTATGTCTGCAGGCCAGAAGAGGGCACCAGACCTCATTACAGATGGTTGTGAGCCACCATGTGGTTGCTGGGAATTGAACCCAGGACCTTTGGAAGAGCAGGCAATGCTCTTAACCGCTGAGCCATCTCTCCAGTTTTTTTTTTTTTTTTTTTAAAAAAAAAAGGCAGAGGGGTTCTGGTTGGTGTTAGTGCTAGGGATTGACCAGACCCATACATCTAGGTAATCGCTTTGCCAGTGAGCTACCTCCCTGGCCTTCTTCTCCAGTGGTTTTGATCAAGTACCTATTTGGTATTTTTAACATTTTATCCTGGGACGTGAAGGGAATGAATGAGTCACCTAACTAGAATAATTATCAACTCATTTAAAGCAAAATAAAAATTTTGTCTTGACTATTCTGTCTCCCCTGCATCCTTTTTAAAATACAGATACAATATATCATTTTATTCTTTGCTATGTTCTTCAGATTTTGCTACCAAAATATAAAAGAAATTAATGTTTCATTTTATATGTGTGTGTGTGTGTTCACATGTAGGTGAGCGTGCACATGCATGTAGCAATCAGGGAACAGCTTGCAGAAGTCGGTTCTTCTGTCCACTCTGTAGATTCCAGGGACCACAAGAGTCTTCTGGCTGGGCAGCAGGCGCACCTTTCCTTTTTTCTTATGTTCTTTGCCCACCATCTCATTAAATCTTCAGGAGACCTCATTTTAAAGCTGTGGGGACAGAAGGAAGTGCACAAGCAGTGGTCGTCAGGGTGGCGCTGCACGTACACCAGGGAGAAACAGTTTTCTGTCTTTCTGTTGTCAGGATCTTCTTCAGCACAGTGACCTTGTGACGCAGGAAATAGTAGTCCTGATTATTTATAACCTCTTGACAATAGTGGAGAAGCTTCACCAAGCTGAGATTGTCCATGGAGACCTGAGCCCACAGAGTCTGATCCTCAGAAACAGGTGGGGCCTTTTTATGTTCCTACATGGGCCACTTTTTTTGAAAACATGGATAATTTTCATATTTATGCCTTAAAGAAATGTGTAAAAGTGTTTTTCGCGCTTGTTTGTCTGTGTGCCTCTTGCATGCCTGGTGCCCACTGAGGCCGGACTTACACATGTAAGATGTTTGTAAGCTGCCATGTGGGCACTGGGAATGGATCCCGTGGCTGTGAATGTGTTGGTGGTAGAGTGCTTGCCTTGTGAGCTTAAGCCTGGACTTCAGCTTAACACCAGGATAAGAAACAAAAGGACTTTATCTTTTTATTTAACAAATTTGACAGGAAATATTTTATAGTCATAAGATACTAAAAACAAGAAAGCCTTTTTTATTTTTATTATGTATATGTACATATTTATATGTTTTGTTTGTTTTGTTTTTTGAGACAGGGTTTCTCTGCATAGTCCTGACTGGCCTGGCACTCACTTTGTAAACCAGGCTGGCCTTGAACTCACAGAGATCCACCTGCCTCACCTACCAAGTGCTGGGATTAAAGTGTGTGTCACCATGCTCCACTATACATTTTATTTTATTTCTTTATATGTGAGTGTTTGTCTGCATGTGTGGCTGCGCACCACATGCATGCTCGATGTCAGGAGAGGGCATAGGATCCCCTGGAAGTAAAGCTATAAATGGTTGTATACCACCATGCAGAGTCTAGAAACTGAGCCCTGGTTCTCTGCAAGAGCAACAAGTGCACTTAACTAAGCCATCTTCAGCCCCAGAGAAAAAGACTTTTGAAGTCACTGAGTTCATTGTTCACATAATTTGTGAGGAAGACAAGATTGAGGGGTGAGAATATTGCTTGGTGGTAATGAGATTGGTAACCTCGGTTTGATCCCTAGGGAGTGAGGAAGAAAAGAGGTTTTGCCCTTGGCAATGTGCTGAGGAGATGGTGTGTGTGAAAGAGAGAGAGAGAGAGAGAGAGAGAGAGAGAGAGAGAGAGAGAGAGAGAGAGAGAGAGAGAGAGAGAGAGAGAGAGAGAGAGAGAGAGAGATTGATTGATTCTTCATTAATCCGGGAAACACACTCCCTCAAGCTTAGAAAAAATGTTTTGTTTTGTTTGTTTTTGGTGGTTTTTTTTTTTTTTTTTTTTTTTTTTTTGGAGACAGAGTTTCTCTGTGTATCTTTGGCTGTCCTGGAACTCACTCTGTAGACCAGGCTGGCCTCGAACTCACAGAGATCCAACTGCCTTCCGAGTGCTGGGATTAAAGGTGTGCGCTGCAACCACCACCAGGTTAAAAAATCTGTGATGATAGTTTTAGAAAACAAAATTAAGTCGGATCTCTGCCAAGGAACAGTTGGCGCTGCCGTAAACTCTAAAGTCCTGCTGCAGAGGTGTGTGCTCCAGGTCAGGTAAAGCCTGGGTGGAAGACCTGCATTTGTCCCAGAGACGAACTGGAGGACTAATAGAAAAAGGAAACAAAATAAACATGCAGAAAGAGTTGATTTTTTTTTCTCTCAGTCAAATTGTTTCTGGATATTCATAACAAAAACCTATTATATGAAATATACTTACTTGATAGTAACTTTGTGTTTTGAAGGGCTTTTTTTAGGAAGTAAGAGATGGGGTTACCAAAAAAAGTGCTGTTGGGGTAATTGAAACAGGAAACTTTACAACATAGATAGCAGCTCAATAAAAAAAATAACCTTATAAATTGCTTTTCTTTTTTTAATGGAGTTTTTTATTGAGCTCTACATTTTTCTCTGCTCCCCTCCCTGCTTTTCCCCTCCCCTTCAACTGTCTCCCATGGTTTCCATGCTCCCGATTTGCTCAGGAGATCTTGTCTTTTTCCCATAAATTGCCCTTTATTAACCTTTAGAGGAGGAACCTTTGCTCTTGGAAAGCCCACCTATTACAGTAACAAGGGCAATGTTACAATGTTATTGTAAAGTAACAAGTAACAGAACCTGCTTCTACTTCCAGTACTTATTTGTAGTCTAAAAACTGGAGAATGTCCTGTGGTGGCCACGCACTGTGCCTTACGTTAGGTGTAGGTACATTCTTTTTTTTTTTTTAAACATTTATTTTATTTTTTTTAATATTTATTTATTTATTATGTATACAGGCCAGAAGAGGGCACCGTACATCATTACAGATGGTTGTGAGCCACCATGTGGTTGCTGGGAATTGAACTCTAGACCTTTGGAAGAGCAGGCAATGCTCTTAACCACTGAGCCATCTCTCCAGCCCTGTAGGTACATTCTTTGTGGCCAAATCAATCTTAACCCTTTGAACTGGCCTTGTCATGACTACTACTATGTGTGCATTTTCCTAACTAGCCACTGGAGGGTGCTGTTGGCAAGGCTAAGACATACCTGCGGTCCTGAGAGAAGAAAACAAACTTGCTTTCACAGCCTGTTTCTATTTTTCTCCTCTTGACTCAATCAGAATCCACGATCCCTATGATTGCAATAAGAACGATCACGCTGTGAAGATCGTGAACTTTTCCTACAGCGTTGACCTGAGGGTACAGCTAGATGCTTTTTCCTTCAGTGGCTTTCGGACTGTCCAGACCCTGGAAGGACAAAAGATCCTGGAGAACTGTTCTTCTCCCTACCAGGTAAGTGGAAGACAAGCCTGAGCAAATACGTAGAACATTTCTTAGGTTCTTCCTTACCTCGCTGTGCTGTGAAGGCTACTGCCACTGACTTGCCTAGAAAAGATGACCGCATTTCCAAATATTGTGTCACCATGCAACTTAGACGTAGCTGTCTTTCCGTTAGCACTCAAGGGTGTAAACATACATACACATGCAAATACATAACTGAGTAACTTTAAGTGCTCCGGCCATTCTGTTCCTCACCATCTGTGCCATCTCTTATGAATTATTCTCTTTGTTTTCACCCTGCAGTAAAGATAGTATTCTCTGCCCTTTCTACCTCAGACCTGTGAGGACTAAATGCAGGGATGTCTATGAGAAGAGCACTAGGGCAGATGTGAAGTGTCAGAACGATTGTTCTACATGCAGACATCTTCTGAGTTAGCTCTGGTCATAAGTTATTTACTGACTGAACAGGTAGCGTGTACCTGAAGCTGGAGTCTTGTGCTGATTTGGCAGGTTGTCTTTGGCTGTTAAAAATAATCCCTTAGCCAGGTGGTCGTGACACACACCTTTAATCCCATCACTTGCCAGGCAAAGGCAGGAGGATCTCTGTGAGTTTGAGATCAGCCTGGTCTGCAGAGTGAGTTCCAGGACAGGTAAGGCTACACAGAGAAACCCTGATTGCAAAAAACAAACATTAATGATGATGATGATCCTTTAGGTTATCTCTGGCCATTTCTTTGAGGGGCTTCCTCCATCCTGAAAAGATAAGAACATCTACTAAAATATGTCATAAGATACACAGTTAAGCTTTGTCATGCTTTTCAACTCTATAAGTTCATAATAGAAACAGGCGACTTTAGCCCATGGTACGTTTTGTGATTTCAGGTGGATCTGTTGGGTATAGCAGACCTAGCACACTTACTGTTGTTCAAGAGACACCTGCAGGTCTTCCAGGATGGACTTCTCTGGAAACTTAGCCAAAATACTTCTGAGTAAGTACTGTACCGTGCAGGGGTTTCCACCCATCCCAACAGTTCCCCCCTTTCTCAGCCGTTTCTGCTGTGGAGGTAACCTTAGTTTCCTAAACCAAGTGCTGTAATTCTAATGATCTCTCTGCGCTTGCTAGAGAATCTGCTGAGCACCTAATACAGGGGGAAAGAATTGCCGACTGAAACTAAGGCATAGACTCTCCTGACTTTCAGGCATGCTGAACCTTGGTATAGCATATAGGAGTTTAGACTTGGTTTAGAACTATTAGAAACATTTTAGAGAAATAATTTTCTAACCAATTGGTGTTAGTCTTTTTAACAACTATGTTTATCAAAAGTTAATTGTTTTAAGAAGAGAGTTAGGTTTCCAAATTATATACTAACTTTAGACTACATTTATTTAAGGAGTAGATAGGACGAAACCATAGAGCAGCCTCCTCTGGTGCACCCCGGGCTCCTTAGGCCTGTTGTGAATCTGGGAGATAGCATGCCCGCCAGAGGCTTCCCCACAGAACTCACCGAGTAATGACTTATTGCCTGCTCTTAAGTTTGTCTTCATTTTAAATCAGTATTGAAGATTTAGTGCCCCTTCCCCCCACTTCCTCTCTAAAACATTAAGTTGTATTTTCTTCTTCGTTTGGCTTAGAACTTGGTCAATCACATTTGTCTCTTGTATGTATTTTTAAAGTAGGTTTGAGCCTGAGATGGTGGCTCGTACCTTTAACCCCAGCACTTGGGAGGAAGAGGTTCAAAACCAACCAGGGCTAGACAGTGAGACCTTGTCTCAGACAATAGCAATAATAAATAAGTTAATAAAATAGCTTGAAGCCTACTTAAGATGTTTGGGTCAATAGGCATCTCCAATTAGCTGTGGACCAGCAAAGTGTAGCTAACACAGGCAGACAGATGGGGTGAGCTGGCCTCTCCTAGCGTCCCTGCCTTCTGTAGCAGCGGGTGTTTTCCAGAAACAGACAACATGAATAAGTAAGCAAGGTACTTTAATCAAGTTGAGCATTCAGAGAAATGTGAGGATGACAGACCCCTGAGGTGGGAGTCAGGAAAGTTAGAGGGGAAGCAATTTCTTTGTACTGTTCACAGAGGAGAGAGGCCAGGAGACGTTACTGCATCTTAGTGTACAGAGGAGAGCTGCAGGCTTGGGGGAGAGAATGAGTTGCTTTCCCTTGGTGCATTGCACACCACCATGGTAGACTGACTTTTGTGGTTCTTCCCTAAACTTCCCACAGATCTCCAGCCTTAGATCGCTGGGTATTACCCTGCGTCACTTTGGCACATTAATGGACTGCTGGATTAAACCGAAAGAATTCTAATCTTCATATACCTGATCTTGATAGAAATGATTTTTATATTTTCTTAGGCTAAAGGACGGTGAATTATGGAATAAATTCTTTGTGCGGATTCTGAATGCCAGTAATGAGTCCACAGTGTCTGTCCTGAGGGAGCTCGCAGCAGAAATGAATGGACTTTTTGACACCACATTCCACAGTCACCTGGACAAAGCCTTGTGGAAAGTGGGGAAGGTAATTAGTCCTGGAGCTTTGCTCCTCCAGCAAGACAGACAGACAAGCCCCTCACAGGTCCTTGCCTCCTAAGCTGTGCTGTGTTGTGGGAAGCTGGCCTTTAATGATAGCAGCTGCTGTCATTTAATTGCGCACACTTGGACACACTACCAGTTTTTTCTCCAGTTTACTCTGAGTGGCATGGTTTTAACAGAACACTGCCCCGACAGCCTCACCTATTTTACTCAAAATGGGTTCTGTACAAAAGGATACTTTTTAGCCTGTTTCTACTTTCCCTTCTGCTTTTCTCTTTTGTAATTTTACAACGTGTACTCTTGCACTCACCATGTATGTTACAATAAAAAAGTTTTTGTTAAATTTGTACTTCTGGTATTTCATCTACATTTGTAAACTAAGCTGATAAATGGTTTAATTTTGGAAAGGGATTATTTTACCATGGAAACTTATTTGTCCTGGATTTAGAACAGCTGCCATCGGGCTATAACGAGCAGCTGGTCGGCCCTTGTTCAGGTGTCTCTGGCCTCGAGCAGATGCCCGAATAGAAACAGGTTATACTATGTGCCCAAGAACAACTTTTCTGAGGTTTCAAAATTGTGTTTTGCACATGGCTCACATCTGAGTGTTTGCAGTTTTATTTTGTGGTTGCCAAAAGCACCTACCAATCTTTTGGAACGGAATACTCACCTTCTGTCGTTTGGTGCAGAGGGGAGCAAGGATTGCTGAGGGCATAGAAGATGGCTTTCCTTGACTTGAGGAAGCAGGGGTCAGAACCTAGAGGACTCGGAAATGTGGACTAATTTGAGAGAGTAAGTCTGGTGAGACATTGGACACCAGAGAAGAGCACCAGCTGCTCTTGGCCTTGAGGGGTTTGCTTTTTTCAATAAGGGTAATTAAAGTCATCTAGTTGTTTATTTCATATTAAAGCAATCGATGGAAGCAATCGATGTTATTTGACGTTCCTCCATGTTAGACCTGACTTTTCCATAGTTACTTACTGCTCTGTGAATGCTAGGAAGCAGAAACTCCTAAGTAAATATCTCAATTTAAAATATTAAGCAAGCCTTGTGGTGGTGGTGCACACCTTTAATCCCAGCCTTTGGAAGGCAGAGAGAGATGGATCTCTGTGCGTTTGAGACCAGCCTGGTCTACAGAGCTAGTTCCAGAACAGCTAGGGTTGTTACACAGAGAAACTCTGTCTTGGAAAAAAAAAAAAAAACTTAAGCAAACTGTACAGTTAAAGCCATAAAATATGATTTGGTTCCAATAATAACTAAAATTTTTCTCTCAACCAAAATACAACTCTTCAAACATCTTTAATTTTGATGGAGGAAGGTCATTGGTTAATTAAATAAAGAAACTGCTTGGCTCGCCCTGATAGGTTAAAACATAGGTGGGAGGAATAAACAGAACAGAATGCTGGGAGGAAGAGGAAGTGAGCTCAGAGATGCAATAGCTCCAACCCAGGATGGACGTAGGCTAGAATCTTCCCGGTAAGCGCACCTTGGGGTGCTCTACATACCTCATTAGAAATGGGCTAGTTCAGGTGCGAGAGTTAGCCGAGAAGAGGCTAGATATAATGGGCCAAGCAGTGTTTAAATGAATACAGTTTGTGTGTTTTTATTTCGGGGCATAAGCTAGCAGGCGGCCAGGGTGCTGGGGACGCAGCCCCGCCGCTCCTATTACAACATAATTTGCTTCTTATACTGAAAATATAAAGTGGTGACCCCGTGTTTTTCTGTAACCAAGCCCCTCTGCTTTCCTTAGTTCCCAGTTTCCTACATTGGCCCAGGAAAGTTAGAGCCTTTATCATAAGCTTCCATCTAGCGAATTCTTGAGCAGCCAAGTTGCTGTATGGACAAACCTTTGTTTCTAAAATGACAAGTAGTTGTTTTCCAGCTCTGTGGGTGCCTTCCTTCCTTCAATCAGATCTCTTCTGAACTAGACCTTCTTATGCATCCCACGGCTTCACTGTTACTTCCTGCCCTTTTCGCCTTCTGTATTTTCCATAGTGCCTTTCACGGTCTTGTATACCAGGAAGTATTCCTCATGTGAGCTTGTATGTACAAATCCGTTCTTTCTTATCCTCTACTACAATTTAAACTCTAAGAAATTTATGTTAGTTCTCAACTGTAATACCTAGAGCAGCACCTAAATAAATAAAACCTTTACCAAAGTATGAAAAACAGAACAGAAACAGGGAATGAACAACCTATTCAGACACTTAAGTGAGAACTTCAGCGTCCACTAATGAAAGACATTGAAACTGTATCATCGTTTATAAGAATGAAAATTGTGTTCTTGAGGGGCTGGAGAAACGACTCAGGTTAAGAGCACTTGTTGCTCTCCAGAGGACCTTGGTTGGTGGCTCCCAACCATCTGTTACTCCAGTTCCAGGGGATCCAGTACGCTCTTCTGACCTCTGAGGGCACCAGGCACACGTGTGCATACACACATGCAGGCAAAATACTCCCAAGTCTAATATATTTTAAATACGTAGATTATTATATTAAAAATACACTAGTGAGATTAATAAAGCAATCACTCATTAGCAGGTTCATTCTTAGGAGCCAATTTGGCAATCTTCTCTAAATTTAAACATTTTCTGAGGAATTTTCCTTAAGAACTCACATTACCCGAACATCACTATGAGTGCTAACAACTGCCCTCACTGCCCGCAAGACTCATTGTCCCCGGTGGGACCCATGTGATACCAGGCATTCGCAGTTAGCACCAGTTTCCCATGAGCCCTCCTCAGAGGTAACAAGTGAGACAAGCAGTCACTTCCAGCTGTGTTAAAAAACTAGGGTGCCCGGTGTAGTGGCTCAACCTTTAATCCCAATCCTGGTGGCAGAGACGGGTGGGTCTCGGGGAGTTCAAAGCCAGCCTGGTCTACAGAGCCAGTTCTGGGACAGCTAGGACCCTGTCTCAAAAGTTAAATAAATAAAAACCTGGGAAATTTAGCAAGCTTTATCATTTTTATTATTTATTAAAGATTTGTTTAGTATGGGTATTTTGCCTGGGTATCTGTTCAGCAGCACACTGACTCAGTGCCCATGGGGCTGGACGCCCCGGAACAGGCACTGTAGTCATTAGCTGTCATGTGCGTGCTGGGAATCAAACCCACGTCCTCATTTTTACTTATTTTTTTAAGATTTGTTTATTGTATGTGTTTGAGTGTTTTGCCTGCATGTCTGTGCAACACATGCATTCCTGGTGGAATGTCATGGGAGTCAGAAGAAGACGGTGTTGGGTCCCCTGGAAACGGAGCTAATGTGTGGATGTGTGCTGTGCTGCAACCAAACTCAGGTTCTCTGCGAGAGCAGCCAGTGCTCTGAACCTCTGAGCCAGCCTCGGCTCTTCACCTTAACATCATCAGAGAACGTGGCTGAATGCTGAAAACTCTGAGTCTGAACGTGCTGTGATCTGTTTGATGTACACTGAAGCCACCATTTTTGTCTGTGAACATCTCTAGGTGGGTAAATTCACAGCCTGAGTTTGATCCCTGGAACCCACCTGATGGAAGAAGAGAACCAACCCCTGAAAGTTGTTCTCTGACCTCCACACGTGCTAATGGCCTGTGCGTGAGTGTGCATGTGCTGAGACTGCCCAGCAGGTAAAAGCCCTGGTCCCTGAGCCTGGTGACCTGAGGAGCATCCTGGGGCCCCCATGGCGGAGGGACGAACCCCTTTCACGTCGTCTACATGCCCTGAATAAAACCTCGAGTTGTCCCAAGCTGATCCTGTATGGCTATGAAAGGATCGTTGATGGCATCAGCCGAGCATCTGCACATGCCCTGTTTCCCCGCCGAAACATCTGCTTCTGCTATTGCTCTTGAGAGGCCCCGTGGCTGACCTGATGCTCTGCAGTAGTTATTCAAGCTTATATCAGCCTCTCCCTGACACTGAGGTTGCCCAAACTGCTAGCTTTCAAACCCCTTGTAAGCAAGGGATTCGTGTCTACTACACTGTATCCAGCAATATATATATAATTCTCAAAAATGAAAACACCAGGGGGGTGGATGACTACAGATTCAGAGATCAGTTATATTGGCTCTGAGGTTAAAGTCTGCCCTTAGCTCTCGACCTCACTTTAGTATGCCGTTTTCTCATGCTGCATCAGCATGCTAAGTGACTGTTAAATTCGTGTTGTGCTATACTTCGCTGTCTAGGTTATACCTTTCAGATTAAAGTTATGCCGGGTGTGGTGGTGCATGCCTGTAATCCAGAGGCTGAGCAGGACCTCGAGGCTGAGGTCAGCCCGGGCTACATATAGAGACTCTTCCCTACAACCATCATTTCAGAAGTGTCTTCTTTGTGGCATGTTCTCTTTTATTTCCATGCATACTAAATTTGGGTTCGTGTTCAGCTGAAACAGGGATGCCACGTGTGCTGCAGATACAGAGCTGGTTCTGCTCACCCTGATCACATGATGCTTTTTGTCTAATTGCTCCAACCCTTCCTTTCACTTCAGTGAGGTACGTTGAAAAGCCTCTGGGAGCTGGAGATGTAGCTCAGTGGCAGGGTGCTTAGCATTTGCAAAGGCCCTAGGATCCATTGCCAGCATCATGAAAATAAATGCTTAGTTTTTAATGAAAAGCACGTTGGCACCAGGACATGGCTCAGCGGTACAGCCCTTGCTTTACACACACGAGTAAGGCTTTGATTTCAAACCCGGCAGCATAAAAGCAAAATACAACAGCTTGGGGAGCTGTTCCTCCAGCCCTGTGGTGGCCAGAGAGTCATCAGGGCAGCCACAGTCTAGGTCACCAGGATTCCTCGAGGTTAGAGCAAAGGATATGGAGAATCAGGTGAGGCTTGGGACTGTGTGGCATGCACATCTTCCAGGACATAAGCACTCAGAGGCCAGCACCAGCCTTAGAGCTCCCAGCCGTGAGGACAGGTTTCAGGAACACAGCTGCTCTTGCCCGCCAGTGCTTCAGTATGGCACACTGGGGCGTTGAGGATGCAGAACTGTCTGGACACATAGCTGTAGATCAGTCTGGGCTGTGGGGAGCAGAAGAAGGAACAAAAGCTAGGGGACAGAGCATCCTATGGATAGTAGAACACCCATAAACAGTCCAGAGAAAGCAAAAGACTGGGAATAAATGGTATGGGAGAGCCAGGAGAAACCGAGGCAGAGCACTGCACCCAAAACATCCCCCAACTGCCTTTTGCACAGAGGCTGTGCAGTATGTATATGGCCTAAGTATGGTCAAGGTCCCTAAAGTGAGAAACACCACAGACCCTGCAAATGGGTCAAGGTATTGACAGTTCCCGTGGGGGGGGGGGGATAGAAAATGTCTTTGAAGCCAACCTAAAAGGGAGATGTCAGCTTGCTCTTCAGGGCAGACAGAACCA